TTGTGGTTAAGTTTGAGTTGCATCTTCATTCTACTGTATGTACTTAGAGTTGTATACTATTCTTACCATTTCTTCTTCATTTCTGATGTAATGTTACATATTATCGAGCTGCTAGCTTAGACGAAAGGGAAGCGAAAATTTTTCGTGGCATGAATGATTAGAGATTTAGAGTTATGTTCTGAACAACTGTTAGTTTTCTAGTATGACTGTCATTTTTTGATGGTCTTTGGTAAAATGCAACCACGAAATGGAGTACTTTATTTGTGATTCTTTTCAATTTCTATTGCTTTGATGGTGACTTATCTCTTGATAAATATTATGAACCAGGGGATTGTTTGAGATTGTTAATTTGAAAATAGTTGTTAAAAACTAGGTTAAATATATAATGGTCTAAGTCTCGTTATTATTTCTAAACTTTTGAAAAATAATTATTTTCATCCTTACCTTTATTTTTCAAGGATCTATATTAACTCATTAATGTTAGTATGTATTCAAACCAAATAGGTTGAAAGCCACTATTGAGTAAGTGAATATTAGGCCGTAAAACAATAAATCAAGGATTACAATGGTTATTTTTCTAAGTCTAGGGACTCAAATAGACATTTCAAAAGTTCGGAGATAAAAAAAATGGTCGTTTTTTATAATTTTAGTTACTAAAATAAACATTTTGAAAGTTTATGGATTAAAGTGGAACAAACTTGAAAGTTTAGGTATTGAGTTGAGATTATAATTTTTTTTATATTTTTTATTTTGCCCACTAATCTTTCAAATTTTCAAATTTGATCTTTTATTTATTTATTTTTCATCTTTTTCTCTTTCAATAATAAAATAAAGTGGGTTTAAATGAGCTGGTGGCCACTTCTATAAAATACAAAAACTTTGGCTATTTTTTGAAAAGATTGTAAAAAATAAAACAAAGTGGGTATATACATGTTAATAACCCCGTAAAAAATACGTCAGTCGTTTAGTTTCAACAGTGACGATAAAACAATATTGTTGCTAAAATTTATCGCTGAAGTCAATGATGATTTGTGCTTACATCGTTTTGTTAGAACGTTTCAAACAAACGACCAACAGACGACCAAAAAAAAATCTGAATTCAAATATACGACGTTTTGATCGTTAATCTATGCATCCTTAACCAAGGAATCTCAAGTCTACATTATTAGTAGTTATTTATTTATTTTTTGGTATAACAATTTAGAGATATGAGAGATCGAATCTTCAACTTAAAAAAAAAGTACATGCTAATTATCGACTATGTTTATGTTGGCTAAATTATTTAAATTTATCCATGGAGGATGTAGCTACAAAGCTTCAATTAAAATTTGGCTAAATTATTAGTATTTATTAATTTTGCCGCGTAGAAGTTATTTCATGGACTTAATTATTTAAAGCCAAATAGAGAACAAAAGGATAACTATTATTTTGCGCACGTCACTATTGAATCATTTATTAGACCTTGAAAGAGGAATATGATGAGTCAAGTCTCAAGTTGGGATAGCCGACCACCAATTATATTTTTCTTTTAATAATTTATCAAATGTTAAATCTTATTGGTTATTAAAAGATTAGGGTACTCCATAGTCCATAGCAAAATGAAAAGTAATAAATTTTTAGGTAGTTGTTTTTCTATGGAAAAATTAAATACATGTGATAAAATAGATATGCAAAATGAATAAATATATTTTCACACATTATTAATTGAAATGAAGAACTCTCTTAAAGTCAATACAATTTATTGAGACAAATTGCAAATTAGACAGTAAGTAGGATATAGATATTATTGCTATCCACTGCTAAACTTTTTATAGGTATATATGTATTTTTGAAGGAAAAAATCACTGTCTTTTTCACTTTTTGTATTCTCCTCTTCCATTTGTGGAAAATTTTGTAGTGGATAACAATCAACAATGAAATATTGTCCATTTAATAAATTCTTTTATCTTCTTCCGTGTCATAAGACAAAAAAAAGTAATGTAATCTAATCTAATTAAGCATTTATTTGAAATGATACACCAAACAATAATAAACATAGATATATAATATTATCTAATAACAAATCTAATCTAACTATTTTAAGAAGCAAATTCTTCATCAAGTAACTTATCATAAAAAAATAAAAAAAAAAGTAGTAATTGCTAAAAGCAATATAAACTATTCATAGAAAAAAACTTTGCATCGAAAGGTAGAGTCTCAATGCCCTTAAAAACAACCATCCCATCCCAAAAAATACAACGTTTTACTGAAAATAGAGATGGTCTGGACAAGTGATCTATTTCCACACAAGTCAAATTCGTACATAAATAAATAAATAATTCCAATACAATTGCGAGTACACACAGTGGGCTAAATATCCTCAGACCGAAGTGGGTCACCACAGGAAGACTTTTGGGAAGTGGATCTGAGGATATGAGTGGATGTGTGCTGTAAAATCTGTTAGCAGTTGAGAGGTGGGGACAAGAAAATTAATTATGGTAATGACTGGCCACTAATTTGAATTTTTAGGCATATCTCAAGGGAAGGGTGTTCCAAGCAAACAGTCAAAAAGGAGAGGCTTCAACTGCATGCATTAATGGTGTCCCCAGCAGTTGCACTATAAATACCTACAATATCTCTACGTGAATTTATGCACTCGAAAGTGAGTTCTTCATCTTTCTTATTTGATCGTCTGTGAAGAAAAGAAAAAAGATGGGGAAGCTTGGAAACAGATCAGTTGGAGCGTTTGCTCTTATTCTTGCATTGTTGGTTGTGGGATTGGCGGAAAGCAGGAAACTAGAGAAGGAAACGCTTGGTGGCGGCGGCGGTGCCGGTGGTGGGTTTGGTGGAGGTGCTGGTGGTGGTTTTGGAGGTGGAAAAGGTGGTGGGATAGGAGGTGGAGTCGGCGGCGGAGGTGGCGCCGGAGGTGGATTTGGAGGCGGCCATGGTGGCGGAGCCGGAGGTGGATTTGGAGGTGGTAAAGGAGGAGGTTTCGGTGGTGGTTCAGGAGGTGGAGCCGGCGGTGGTTTTGGTGGTGGTGCAGGAGGTGGAGCTGGTGGTGGATTTGGAGGAGGCCATGGTGGAGGTGCCGGAGGTGGATTTGGAGGTGGTAAAGGAGGTGGTTTTGGCGGTGGTTCAGGAGGTGGAGCCGGTGGTGGATTCGGAGGAGGCCACGGCGGAGGTGCCGGAGGTGGATTTGGAGGTGGWAAGGGAGGTGGTTTTGGCGGTGGTTCAGGAGGTGGAGCCGGTGGTGGATTCGGTGGAGGCCACGGCGGAGGTGCCGGAGGTGGATTTGGAGGTGGGAAGGGAGGTGGTTTTGGCGGTGGTTCAGGAGGTGGAGCCGGTGGTGGTTTTGGCGGTGGTGCAGGAGGTGGAGCTGGTGGTGGATTTGGAGGTGGCCATGGGGGTGGTGCCGGAGGTGGATTCGGCGGTGGAGCAGGAGGAGGCTTTGGTGGAGGAATTGGCGGCAGAGTCTAAAATCACAGTACAATAGTACATTTTATAATGCTCGAACTAGAACTAAATGCATGCTGAAGTCACAGCACAAATGCTCATGCAAAAGACCTTTATATTATGAGTTATGAGTCCTATGATTAGTATTTGTACTTCGATTCTACATAATAAGAGAGAGAAAAGAAAAAACTAGAAGAAGAAAAGAAACTTAATTAGTATTTCGTCTCATTGAAACATATTTTCAAGATTCTTACACAGCAGGTCACACACCCAATAACTGTCTCAGACTATAATGCTCAAGCATTATAAAGGAATTAAAAAGAAGCATCTGAATACTCATAATCCAGAAGCATCATTCACATTTTCCAGCGCATCTTTACAAAATAGTTCGCTTGAACAATGTTGTCACAAACAAACACAAAAATTATAAACCAAAAGCATCATGAAGTAAATTAAAAAGTGTGCAGCAGGAATATTAGCTTAGCTTTTTTATAGCCACGCAGGAAGCCATTCGGAGCCATCAATAAAAGAGACGTCAAGGAACGGGGCCACTTCATCTTTGGTCAGCTGTTTGGCCCATGGTGCTCGGTGGCCCGATGCTGCCCCTGGTCCGTGGCAATCGTATTCTGCATGGAACAAATTCCTGTAAAAGTAAAAAGTTTACGTTTAGTTTAGGCCATTGTGAATTGAGAATGGTTTTTCCAAACCGATACCTTCTCACCATCATTAAATATTTAGTCAAATCGGTACTTTCTCACCATTATTAAATATTTGAGAACTAAATGAGAGCAGAAAAAGCAAAGACTTTTCTTGAAAAATATTTGGGTCCTTAACAGTAAGTAAATGTCTTGTACTCGTCATTATTAAATGTATGACAAAGAGAAATGCAAAAACAAACGTTTTTTTTAGAATTTGTTGTCAATTTTTTAATAATGGTGAAGACAAGATTTGATATTCACCATTAAAGAGTCAAGTATTATCCACTCCTCTTAAATAATGAATCGTCAATTTTTCAATAGTAGCGAATACAAGATTTAGTCATTGCCACTACGGAGCCAAGTATTTATCGTCTCTTACTAATTTGGCAGAATGATACAAAATAGAAAAACTAAAAAAAAAAAGCTATAGTTTGACTAAATATCATAATATTTGGGGCATATGCAGAGCATCTTAAAACTGACTTAAGCTATAGTTTGACTAAATATCATAATATTTGGGGCATATGCAGAGCATCTTAAAACTGACTTTAGTAAGTTTGAATTTTTAAGTATAGAGTTTATAACATTGAGATACACGTATGGAAAGCTTAAATTTATAGATTATGTTCGGAATCTTGAACAATGGACTAATATTCAGGTCGTTAATTAGTACTCCTATTAAATTTAGATATTTGAATAATTTTTTAAGTTAGGGAGGTTCTTACTCTGTGCTGCCATGATAGCTCCAATTGGTCCAGCCTGCGGGAACAACGGTCATGGAGAGGTAAGTGTTAGCAAAAATGACTCTGGAATAAGCACCTTTGGCTCTACCCAGATAGATACCGCCAATTCCGTAAACCTTTCCTTTGATAAAAACAAACCCACTGTTCTCGTTTGCACTCTCTCTGTTTTGAGCTGTGATTGAACCGTGGATCTTCATTCTCTTGTCATCAATCACAAACATCTCACAACTCTGTATCCACAGCAACAACAGAGCTGTTAGTGCTTGTCTTTCATGGAAAATTATCAGATCCCCAAGAATAAGGAAAGATTAGAGAAAAAGTAATGCTAATCTTTTAAAAAAATTTCGCAATTAACTCTTTTTAATTCTATATGCAATGAAAGTTTTGTTAGAAGTCATCTAGTCTATGTACTTGACAAAAGTTTTGTTAATAAGTTTCAAAGCTTTCAATTCTATATCTTATGGGTCATTTTCGTTCCTTCGGGTTAATTTAATACTTATACCACCAAATGTCTAAACCCATCTAAAATCAACTTCCATGATTCTTAATTAATACAATTAGTATACTACGTAGGAATATACTAGACACAGTTGAAATTTCAAAAATCTATTATAAACCTTTTAACAGAGAGAAGATATATAGATACAACATTTAAAAGTTTATACACTTAATTTGGAAGTTTATGAAATATAAGTGCTTGTTAAACATAACCCTCAGAATTCAAAGCCCAAACTTGTAGACAACATATGACCCCAAGTAATCTTTTAACTCTGTTCCAAATGCCTTTCTTCTTTTAAGTCCCATAATAATATTTAATTTCTCATCTTTTAACAAAAGAAAGTTTATAATATAACCTACTAGCTTTGGATAAGAAATTAAAACAAACAAACAAAAAAAGGTTCAATTGATAAGATAAGAAATCATCAATGGAAAATATCATGAATCATGTAAAAATTATATGCATAAACATAGTATTATAATTTATTTCTGTGAGAGCAGCAATAGGGAAGGGAAAAGAGTTACGCGGAAGGTGGATTGGCCGCGGCCAAAGATGAAGTCAATTGAGCCTTGAATGTAGCAACTGTCATAATAATGTCTGCCTTTATAATCGAACAGAGTATTGTGAGTGCTGTAGAATCCGCAGTGGTAAAACGCAACTAAATCTGCGGCAACGAATGCTGCTACCGACTGGTTCTGCGATGTGTAAGCCACACCAGTGGGAGCCTCATTCTGCAATTGGTAGAATTTTCCAAAAGAAAAAACAAAAATCAATGGAATAAACAAACACATTATTGAATGAAGGCAAAAATCATTGAATAAAGCGATAAATGTATCGAGAACCTTGAAGCTGATTCCAAAAGCAATGAAATGCTTAGCTTCGACTTTAAAAACAGCAGATTCCACATTATCAACAGAGCTCTGTGACCAAACAATCGACGTCCTTCCTTTCCCGTTCCCTCTCAGAAAGATGTACGGCTTACTCGACGGTACATGAACCTTCTCCCTGCAGCCAAAACCCTGTCTCTTTTAAATCACTGCGAATTAACCTAAAAAATTGCAAGAGAAAGGGCCAGAAATCACCTGTAAATTCCTTTCCTGACATGGACGATCACCCACTGCGAATTCCCCTCCGGAACAGAGTCAATTGCAGCTTGAATTGACGTGAATTCGCCGTCGCCATTGATGTCGACCTTGATGGTGCGATTGGTGCCGATCTTCTGCGTCAACAGCGGGGAATCGATCACATTTTTGGCTGTGAAACCATAGGAACCGATCGGAAAAGAGATCAGGAGAGCAAAAGCGATCGCGGATGCGATGTGGATGGATTTGAAGAGGGAATTGGAGGATGGAGGAGGCATGATTTTGGAGATTGATTATTGGGGAGTGATCCGATCAGAGAGACGAAATGAAATGGATCGAGAGGAGAGGAGGAAGGGATGATATTTAAGCGAAGAGAATTCGGTTGAAATGAGATTTGGGAAACGAAGTTTGTTTTGGGAAATGGAAGGTTACAGAAATGGAGCGGGAAATTGTTGGCTGGAAACAAACATCCATCGCTATTTTATTTTATTTTTGGAGGGCTTTTTTAACGGTTAATTTTTGTGGTTCAAATCCAGCTTTTATGTTTTTTTTTCCCTTTTTTTTTCTTTTTTGGAGTCGATTAGTTTTTAACTAACAAATAGAGAGAGAGAAAAAAACTTTCCAAAAATAATTATTTGTAATTTACTCTCGTGATTGTTACTTAATTAATATATATATATATATATATATATATATATATATATATATATATATATTTTTAAGATACAATATTACAACGTTAGAAGAGAATCCGAGAATTTAATCCTCCGATCTTACCAACTTGTGTAGCTGTAATTGACACTTATCTTCAACCTAGAGATCATTAGTTCGAATCCATAAAAATTTTCAAATGTTGTATTTTGTTTAATAAGGGAAATTATTTTGGTATATACTTCAAAATGTTGATTTTGGTAACTAAATTTTTTATTTTGGCTTATTTTTGTCTTTGTATTTTCAAAATATTCCTTGTGGTTTTGTATTTCTAAAACGTAACCACTTGTCCTTTGACTTTATTTATAATCTCATTTTTTCTATCACATTTCAACACCCACTTACACTCAATATATTTCTTAAAAAATGTTTGAAATGTAATTGTAGTAGAAACTGCTTATCGTGAGTGTAGTGTGTCAAGTTTTAATAAAAGTGGCAAGTCAATACCGATATCGTTCTTTAGATTAAGTTTCTAGCTCACTTAAGTATCACGAATACTATTGCTCAATTTTATTTATAGAATCTAATATGAACGAGAGAGTAGAACAAACAAAATAAATGTACAATAATAAAAAGAAAATAACTAGGAAGAAAGATCGTAGGGAATTGATTTCATTTATTCAATCTATGAACCAATTACTTAATTACTCAAAATTGAATGAACTATTAATTCTATATGTCAAGAATTCTAAAGTCTCTGCCTCTCTCGAATGCAAGCCAATTCTTCTTACTAATTAGGAAATCAATATCTCTATTTATTTTTCATAATAAGTAAGAGTTTTAATGAATAAGTCTTCTACTCATTTGAGCAACTACCTTTAAAACTTTCAGTCTAGGATGATCGGGGAGAACTATTGTAATTTATATCAAAGTTATCAAGATAGTGCACTAGATCCTCTGATATCATGTTTTTGGTATTAATTAAGTTACGTATTCTACTTCATGTTTCACCACTATTTGTATATAATAATATTTTATTTTTAAAAAATTCTAAGATTATTTCAATGTTTATATATGTCAATATTTCACACATATTGTAAGTAAGGACTAGATTGCATTATAAATTATCAATAAAGCAAATTCCAAATCTTATTAGTTATACTTTATACAGTATTAAAATTCGAATGTTTAATTGAATAGACTAAGATTACAATCATTGAGGTTGTGAGAAATTATAGACTGTAGTAGCATAGTAAGAAGAGGATGAAAATAAAATAACCTTAAAAGAAGAAAGAGGAAAAAAAAAGACATGGCGATGACATGGGGGGGAAAATCGACTTTCCCCCCTATGTCGATGTTGATATACTCGAATGTCGACATGTCGAGCGACATGTTGACATATCTCTCGACATTTTGAACCTTGGAGAGCAAATTGAAAGCTACTACGAAGGCTACAAACTTAGAAATGGAGAGCAAATTGAAGAAATGACCATTTATCGGTCGACCTCCTCGAAAGACGAGTCGATCTTGTAGAGCACCTACAAGTGCAAAGCACTAGACACGATCTTTGACAAGGCGCCACGATTCTTGAGCGGTCGAAGAGCCATTAGACTGTTGTCAGAAGCCTTGTCAGGAGCTCACTAAGTACGCACAAAACTATATTTTCTCTCGAGTATAGATCGATAAGTACTAACTAGAGCGTCAGAATGCTAACTCCGTTTTGCAAGTCTCTCGTTCATGAGTATCCAAAGTCTGAGCTTCGCTAAAAGACTTAATCATTTTCTACATCAAACAAAAGGAATTCTAAAATATCTCGATTTTAAACTCATTTAGTCATGCATCCCATATCTAATGGTAGACTAAACGTAGCCAATAAACTTCTAGATGAACTAGTATAAATCTGTTGTGTCGTTTCTCTGTATTTTGTGATTGACTTAAATAATCGGATAGAAGTTTGAAAGGGAAAATTAATAATTTCCCAACTGTCCTCAACAATAAGGAAATGTTAGGACAAAAAATACAGTGCTACAGTACTATCTCTCGTACGATCTCTTCTCGGGCAATCTCTTTGTGATTTTTTTTGTTGTAGGCACCCGACGTTCTCTCGGGTATTTGAACTCGATTGCATGTTGTGTACTATTCCTTACGTGCTTAGCCAATCATAGTTCATTCCATTTATGTCCTATTACCTACCAAATATTCATTCTTATAAATTATGTCCTAGGTGTGTAAATGTATCACATATAATACAAAAAATAACAAACAATCTAAGTATAACCCTCGTAAATTTAGCTTACATGGTGTGCTATCAATAATAATGACTTTATATTAAAGAGTTTCTGTTATGTGTATAATTTGTGTTAAAGTTTTGCAAATATAGATCAAAATAGTCACTTTTTAAAAATATAGGAACCAAGATAATTATTTTGAAAATAGAGGGACTAAAATAAAATAAAAATTGAAATTACATATAACCATAAGAGGAAACTTTATCTATCAAGGTATTAGCAATCTCTCTCTCCACCTATTTTTTTCAGTTGTAACACGTAAACTATTTTTTGTTGTTAATTTTTCATAAATCAATTCTCCACAAAAGATAAGAAAAGGAAAAAAAAAAAAAAAAAAAAAAAAAAGTGTAACTTCATATGTTTATCAAGCTCCTCAGACGGCATAGCCGGCTGCGCCAAATTCTTGAACTTCTTAATGATATATTTAATCTCTCAACTTTAAAGAGAATTCAATTATGTGAATGAGGTTCTCATCCTTTAGAGACTACAAATGTAATAGGAACATCCGTCGACAAAAGGATCCTTATTGACCTTACTTCCACTACCCGACCGTCAAGCATGGAACCCTAGTGATCCGCCATACAAGCTGGATAGCGTCAGTGACTGAATCACCAAACTTTCAACTATAATTCTATATAGTCAATGTCATCAACAATATTAACGGCACCCTCGGGTGTTGGCACAGTGGCAAGAGGTTTGGTGTCAACACCCAAATATCCAAGTTCGAGCCCTCCTGTGTCCAGAAGTAAAAAATATATATATATATATCAACAATATTAACTAAATAATGAACTTATGGAGTAAGATCCAAAACATATTCATATTTTAAATATTTAATTTGTATTATATTAATAAATTAGATTTAAATAGTTGAATTTAATTATGATTTAATATTTCGCGATCAAGTCGAAGATATTGAAAAAAAAAAAACAAAATTTTAAAGCACAATTTTAAAAGAAAATTCAAACTCCGCTAAGGGAGCTCAACATAATTATGCCAAGACACTCTAGAGTGATGAGAATTAGATTTTTAGACTATTTTAAAAAAGATATAATCCCGAGAAATATGTCACAAAATTTAAGATAACTCTTGTTCTTTCTCTAGGAATTTCACTTGATTTTTTTTCTTTTATTGATAACGATTCCTAAATGCATTTTAAATGTTATTTTCTTTCTATTTTCATATTTTATATGATTAACCAAGACTCTTGATTATCAAATTAAGGAAGTATGAGTTGTAAGAGCTTCTCAACAACCATAACCAATTTAGAAAGAATAAAGAACACCTCCCGTGGAGTTACAAGGAGAAGAAGGAAGAGATCAGAGAAAAAAAAAACTATTGCAAGTCGGGTCTGGTTTGACCCAAAAATTTTCAGGTCAGTTCGGTTTTGACTCGAATAGATTTTGTTTGGGTTGATTTTACCCACTCCTAATATTTTTGGGTGGGCTTTTAAAAGTTCTCTCTTTTTTCTTTATCTACTCCTGCAATCACTTTTCAAAACCTCCATATTTTCTATTTTGATAACTAAATCGACAATTGAACTGCATAAGTTCGACCCTACTTGCTACTACAACAATGTAAAATCTTTTTTAAGTATGAACGCTACATATCGTTGGCTATCCATAGTCTCTTCCAATGGTGTGGCAATTAAATTGACAATGAGTGCTTGCAAAAATCAGATTTATTTATATATGACCTTTAGGAAAGAAATCGCATTGCAACTGCAAGTATTGAACTAAATGGTCTAATATAATATTCCAATATATATATTTGGACTTCTTGATTCATGGCAAAGAAAGCCTTTAAATTGCTTCGATATTATTGTACTAAACCTACAAGGATGGGAGGACTGAATTTAGAACTTTATAGCCCAAACTTTATTATTTAAAGGTTAAAATATAGCTTCATAGCTCAAACTTATTTATCAAATACAACTTTATAGCTCAAACTTTATTTATTGATTAAATTATAGCACTCTAAAGTTTGAAAAGTTAGGGTGCGTTTGGTTGTTAATCAGAAAACATAAATTTGAAAACAACAGATTTAATGAAAACCAGAGTTGTATTATTTGTTTTTAATATTTTCATATATGTGTTTGGTAGCAGATTTGGTAATTGAATCTCAATTTAAAAAATTTTCGAAGTAGTTACCAACTAAATTTTAATTTAATCTAAACTTATATTAATTAATTTATTAACATTTTTTATGAATTTTGTATAATTATTATTTTACAAGGTTATATAATTTAGATTACATTATATTTTACATTTTTTAATTTTAATAAACATAAAATGAGTTTAAAATATGAGGTAATATATTTATCAAAGTTTTTATCATTTTTAATGTAATTCAGCATCTTAAAATTTTCAAATTCTGAATCTGAAAATACTTAAAAGCATAAAAAAGTCGTTTTTAGATTTTCTACTGTTTGGATAATCCGAAAACATAATCCGAAAACAGTTTTAAAAAACAAATCTCCAAAATCTTGCCAAACACGTTGGATTCAGTGAATATGAAAACAAAAAAACATAATTCAGACCAACATTAACACTACTAATTAATTAAGATATTTTACTCTTTTCCTTGAGATGGGGAGTTCGAATTCCAATCCGAACTAAAAGAAGTCATGATATGGAATTGATAGTATAAAAACATGATACACGATTAACTGATATTGAAAAAATATAATGTTATAGCATGTTCAACTGTCAAGAGAAGAAGGAAAGAACAAAGAAGTTAGAAGATTAAAGAAAATCTTGACCATTTAAAATCGTAGATATCAAACAATAAGAATAAAATTTGTCATTCTTCTAACAAATTTTAAAGCCAACTAAAACTAAATCTTATCTAGTTCACAGTAAAAAGTAATCTAGTCAATATATTCCTTACCTTATTAAACATAAAGTGAAATGACAATAATTTAAATCAAATTTTTTAAAGTTCAATTAAAATAGATATGGCAAACATAAACCTAACTCAACTATCAAAACATTAACTTCTTCCTTCCAGGTCGGAGATTCAAACTCCAATTTTTTGTACTAAAAGATTGAAATATATATTTTAAAAGCAAAGCCAAAATATAGATTAATCTTGAAATTCAAGGACTAACATAACCAAAAATTCACTTCTCTGCCCTGAGTATGTATTTGACATGCATTTCGTAAGTGCTTTTTTTTTCAAAAGGCACCCCAGACTCACCCTAAGTAGAAGCTCCTAGGCAGTTTATTTTCAGTAAAAGTATAGATAGGTAGGATTCCCTAGTCTGTTAACCATTTAGGAACTCCTACAGGCTAGTTTTAAAGAATTATTATACAGAGGGAATTCATCCCCAATGTCCTTGAAAGTTGAAACCAATGGGTTTTATCCTTAGCAAAAGTTGTGTCTATAAAAGAGAATAAACTTTTCTTCCTGATCCTAAGCTCTCTTCTGTTTGATCTTCTAAATTTGAACCATTATAGACCCAAAGAAAGTTAGAAGAAGAGTCAAGAAACTGTTTGGTTTCTCCTCTTTCAAGACTGTTTCTAAATGGATATGGTTTTTGTAAACAAGAACATTGTTTTTGGTATTCCATTTTTTATACTATTTGCCTTGTTTGGGACTTGCTTCTCCAAAGCTTTTACAGGTTTTTTTGTGTTTGGGGATTCATTGGTCGAGGTTGGAAACAACAATTACATTCCAACACTCTCCCGAGCGAATTATGTGCCCAATGGCATCGATTTCGGAAGGCCAACTGGTCGATTCACCAATGGGCGAACCATTCTTGACATTATAGGCAAGTTATGAACTTCATTGCAATACCAAAACCAGCAAAAAAACAGTAAAAAGAAGTTCAATGTCTGTTCTGTTTCCCATCTTACCAGGACAGGAGCTTGGCTTCAAGATGTTCACTCCCCCGTACTTGGCCCCTTCCACGACGGGACAGGTGATTCTCCAAGGCGTCAACTATGCTTCTGGTGCAGCTGGAATCTTCAACAAAACAGGAAAAATGTTTGTAAGTTTCTGCTGCAATCCATGGAGTGTGTTTTTTCTATGGAAAATGATGGATGGAATGCACATTTTTATGCTTTGTTTTTGTATATGTATTGTTCTGGTTATGTTTTGTAATGACATTGTGTTGAATGTGAGTTGAAAAAGGGCGGTCGAATCAACATGGATGCACAAATTGATAAGTTTGCAAATACCAGACAAGATATCATTGCCATGATTGGCCTTCCTGCAGCTCTAGATTGGCTAAGAACTTCCATCTTCACGATAGCCATTGGCTCGAACGATTTCATAAACAACTACTTCACACCAGTCCTCTCAGATTCTAGCCACCGGTTAATTCCTCGAGAGTTGTTTGTCGATTCCATGATTTCGAGATTCAGACTCCAGCTCACTGTAATAACACTCTTCCTTGTTGCTTCACAAACATCAAAGATCAAAGTAGATTATTCCTGTCAATTGCTTCATTCGAAAACGGTTCTGAAAAAAATTATCTAAATCTCTTGCAGAGACTTTACCATCTAGGAGCGAGAATGATCCTAGTCGCAAACGTCGGACCAATTGGATGCATTCCAAATCAGAGAGATGCGAATCCTTCATCAGGAAACAGCTGTGCAAATTCCCCTAACCTAGTGGCTCAGTCATTCAACACCAAATTGAGAGGTCTAATCACAGAGCTCAGAACACAATTTGAGGATTCAAATTTCCTTTACGCAGATACATTTCGCATCGTTCAAGATATAACTCAGAATAACGCATCATACGGTGAGAATATTGCGTTAAATTTTTTTCATTGAGGAAATTAGTCGAATACCTGCGATTGTGCTTCACAATTGACAGCTTCGCTCAATCGCTCGCTGTGTTTGCATAGGATTTGAGAACGCCGACTCGGCGTGCTGCCACATTGCCGGCCGCCACGGCGGTCTTTTTCCCTGTGGACCGCCGTCGAAAGTGTGCGGAGACAGATCGAAGTACGTGTTTTGGGATCCATATCATCCTTCTGAAGCTGCAAATTCCATAATCGCGCGGAGGCTCTTGGAAGGCGACGCCATTGATATTTGGCCGATCAATATTCGAGAACTTGAACGTCTTATTAATTCGTAGTTCTTTTCTTTTCTTCGTATTTTATTTTCTTTTGAATAAATGTTAATTAGTAATTAATCTGAAACTAGACGCATGGTTTTTGTCCGTTTGTTGAACATTTTATCTTGGTTAGATCTACCCGTTTATATTTAAATTTAATTTTCATTTTTAAATTTTTAATTTACTTTTGATCATTTCGTCACATCTCAAAGTTATATAGTGAATCTAAATCATTTGAATTTGCAACCCAAAAAAAAAAGTTATTTAATGTATCATTTAGATCTCCTCAATTTTATTTTCAATCTTCTTTTTACTTTTTAGCATTCATTTTTCAATCTAGATTTCATTTTGGTCTAAAGTTAATTTAATTTCTGGAGGTATTATTTACTTCATTCGAATTACAATCATTGACTTGATATTAAATTTAATAAATAAAAATAAATGTTAGACAGCTTTCCTTCTCGTATAGATGTTGGTCGTCCTGACTTTGATTGTTAAGGTCAACATCATATTTGTAAAATAAATTATTGTTGATGATTCAGAGTCGTTTGGTAAGTTAAATATCTATCGACATGTCGACATTTCCAACCATTTATAAATAAGAAAATATTTATTTGTTAATTTAAATACTTTTTACGATTTTTTTAATTTATCTAATTTCTACAGAAATATCGATCGACATCGACATTTTATCGATATTTCCATGAAATTGATACATCGATATTTTTATCGACATCGACATTTAAAACTTGGTAACATTTTTTTTTTTTTACATTTCTCATTTATAGTTTTTAGTAACTAAGCTTTTAGTAATTATTTATGTTTATAGTATTCTTTTCATTTTTATAAAAACATTTCCAATTATGTTTAAAACAACATCTTTTTCTTCTCTCTCTCTCTCTTTTTTTAAGTTTTTCTAAAACATACATACCAGTATTACTTTTATTGTAACTACATGGTAAATATTGATAAGTATAATATAAATGTTTGAATATCATTTAAAATTTTAAAAATTTCACATAAAAAACTTACTTTTGTGATTTCAAGTTTCAGAGTAAAAAAATAAATAAAGAATTATCAAATATGTTTTTGTTTTTTAGTACAACATGTGGGAGTGAGAGATCGAACTCACAACCTTGTGGGGAGATATATATCAATTACCAAATATGTTTACGTTGAAAACAACAAATAACAAATAGTTATCAACAACAGTAAACCATCACTATTGAGAGTTTGTTTCGAACTTACCAAAAGTATACGAAAAAAAAAAAATATATATATATATATATATATATATATAGCATTCAGTGATTACAAAAAAAAGAAAAAAAAAATATATATATAATAAATAAAATTATGGTTAGTGGGGCATAACTTTTTAGGGTAAAAAAACACATCTAATCAATGATTTAACTCATAAATTTTAATTTGTAATGATTAAATTTTTATACGACTACATTGATAAAATTTTAGGTATAATTTAGTCTCTATAGTATAAAATTGGTAACAATTTAAAAATCTTATTAAAATTCAGGGTCAAATCATTTTTTATATAACAATCTAGTTTTTTTATTTGTAATTTATAAATATTTGATTGGTCGAAATCTATAAAATTTAAATAAATTTTTAATAATAAATAGTAAATCAGAACTTAATTACTCCATGTTAAAGTTTGGAGACTAAATTGTTACAAATTTGAGAGCGTAGACACAAAATTATAATTATTACGAGTGGAGAGTTTAGAGACAAAATTATTAAAAAATGTACGAAATTGTTATTTCAATGAAATAACAGGCAAGTAATCAATTTGGTCCAGTATTCGGATCGACTTGGGTCTATTCGGTTCATAAACGGTCGGTTTAAACCGCGATTATGTTTGGAAGGTAAGAAAACCAAAAAGAAAAAGGTAGGAAAATATCGAGGAATTTTCTCATTTCATGTATTCGCAATTTCACCTTTCGGTCAGTTCAGTTCGCAGGACGAAATTCCTGGCGACTTGAGCAGCAGTGGACTTCCAATTCTTCATTGTCTCTGCTGCTGTTGGATTTTCGTTCCTCCAATTGCGATTCTTGATCGCCAATTTCTAGATTTTCTTTCTCGCATATGTGGAAGACCTCCCATTCTCAATCGGAAACCGAGCAGATAACGAAGAAGAAAGGCTAAAGGAATTGAAGCCGGTTCACAGTTCCATGGCAGCTAAATTGAACTCTAGTTTACTATTATACTGTTATGTTTTGGTTTTCGCTTTGGTCATAGTTTCGTTGGAATCAGCACCTCAAGCTTTCCGGAGAGATCCGGGACACCCACAGTGGCATCACGGAGCGTTCCACACCGTCAGAGATAGCGTGCGAAACGATGTTCGTCGCATGCTGCATTCTCGAGCTGAGGTACTTCTTGTGCTGTAATGATTTTCCAATCCTTGATTTTGTTATCGTTTACTCGAATGAATATACAGTGGCTCCAATTTGTTTATCTCGCTCGTCAAACTTCTTATTTGGCATTCAAACGATTAGAATAATTAGGAAGAATAGAGAGGTTTAGGTTTGCGGTGTTGATGGATGTGATAGGGATTTTCTTGAAACGGATGCAAATGCAGAAACTAATAAAAGAATTTCTCAGGTTCCATTTCAGGTTCCACTTGAAGTGAACATCGTCCTTATTGGTTTCAATAACGATGGAGGCTACCGGTACACAGTAGATTCACACAAGCTAGAAGAGTTTCTGAGAGCCAGCTTTCCTTCTCACAGGCCATCCTGCCTTGAGACGGGCGATCTCATTGACATAGAGCACCATATTGTATACAACGTATTTTCTGTAAGTTCCATTTTTATTTTTGTTGAGTAACTCTCCTCTTTAAAAGATTTTGATTTATAAGTATAATTTATTTCCTCTTTTTGAGACTGCATATCAAAGTTTTTGACTCCCTTTGCACTTGACTTCATGTTTTGAACTGAATGCCCATTGACATAGAGCATCATATTGTATACAATCTGTAGTTTTCTACAAAAGCTATTTAGTCCAGCTACTATATTTGTACCACTACAGGCAGGTCAGGCCGAATTGATAGCTCTCGAGAGGGCACTGAAGGAGGCCATGGTTCCTGCTGGAACTGCAAGAGAGGTGGATCTTAAGCTTTTTTCTACTATTCACTTTTGTTTTCTTTTTCTTTTCCATAATTTTTTGGGTAGTTTGTGAACTTTTTTTTAAAACATTTATTTAATTATAGAAGTTCTATGCCTCTCCAGACTGATTTTGGAAGGGAGGTACCTTTGTTTGAGGTGGAAGCAACAGCAGTGGAACCAGTGTTTCAGAATTTATATTCCTATATATTTGACACGGATAATCATGGATACTCTGCTACTGAGATGGATAGACTTATGCCAATTTCCATATTTATTGTCAACTTTGATAAGGTGTGGTGACTTTTTCTGAATCCATACTTCGAATGAAAAGTTTAGGTGCTTCCTTTTAGGATGACTGGTGCATTTTTTATCACTTGTTCTTGAGAAGAAGGTTATTTTTCTTTAAAGATCACATTTAATGTTCTGTACTTTGTCAAATGAAGCACTCTTTTCTTTCTTTTTTTCCCTGTTACTTTTATGGAACATTCTTTTGATTTGTTTGTGATGGTCTACCATCCTTCTTAAAGTTTTTCTTACTACTATCATCCTCTGTTGCTTTAGTTTTATTTTCTGTTCTACCATCTCTTACTTTTTCTCTCTACATTTTTAACAGGTCAGAATGGACCCTAGAAATAAGGAAGCTGACTTTGATAGTTTAATGTACGGGAAACTTGCCGAGCTAAATGATGAAGATATGAAAAAACAAGAAGGAGATTACATTTATCGTTATCGATATGATGGAGGAGGAGCAACTCAAGTTTGGTTGGGCTCTGGCAGGTATTGTTTCGAAAGTGACCTGATTTGATGAACTTTGGCTTGTTTTATAAACATTTGGGGAGCCTTGCTATCCTCTGTTTGGTATCATTACAAGTTGTAATAATTTTATGGTCCAATATGTTCTTATTTATGTTGTTTGAGAGCTTAAGAATTAACGTTCAACATAGGATAGAAGCTTTGTGAAGGTTTGTAAGTCGTGGTTGCCCTTTTTTCTGCTTTCTCTCATTGTATGTGGTTGTTTATGTTATCCACATGATTTCAGTAACTTAGGTAATTGTAGTGCTAAATGGGGTGGTTGAATGTTTATCAATTGACCCTACTCTGTTCTCTGCCATTGGTATCATAATGAATGGTTAACAAATGTGGTGGTAGATCCAGCTTATCTTTAAGCCTGATTGGTGTAATTGTTTGTTTGTTTCCATGGTGGAAGGTGTGTGTGTTATTATTATTATTATTATTTTTTTTTGATGTCCAACATTGTAACTAGAGCTCTGTTATGTGAGCCTGTTCTTTTCTGGGGTCTAACTTTCTGCATTATTCAGATTTGCGGTGATTGACCTCTCAGCGGGCCCATGCACATATGGAAAAATTGAAACTGAAGAGGGAAGCGTCAGTTCTAGAACTCTACCACGATTGAGGAATGTGCTATTTCCAAGAGGATTTGGTGCAGCCAGTGATCATTCGACCCATGATAATTTTTTGGGGGAACTTGCTGCCTTAGTATCAACCACCATCGAACATGTCATAGCGCCGGATGTCAGGTTTTTTTCATTTCATTTAAGTTTATGTTACCTATTCTATATTAGTTCTGTTGGCTACATAATGCAGAATAGACCCTAGAAAACAACGAGCTCATGGAATAGGAGATATGTGTGCAACTTGACAAATAATGTATTAACATTTTTTTTTTTTCTATTAACATGTTTTTTTCCGTGTGTTTAGGTTTGAAACTGTTGATATGACAACAAGATTGCTTATACCCATAATCGTCTTGCAAAATCATAATCGATACAATATTATGGAGAAAGGCTATAATTACAGCATAGATGTTGATGCAATTGAAGCAGAGGTAAGACCTTTTCATTTAATATGATGTTAAGTTCCATGAATGATGAATGCCAAAAATTTTATATCTCTAAGATAATAGCTACGAAATTATTCATTAAAATCCCGTGAAATGTGAGCATCCTCTACATTTTGGTTTATGCTTTGCTATAGAACACAAACCTCTTCATGTAAGTGTTCTGCATTATTTTCAGGTAAAAAAGATGATTCATGTTGGGCAAGAAGTAGTAATTATTGGTGGCGCACATTTATTACATCGCCATGAAAAGCTGGCCATAGCTGTTTCAAAAGCAATGCGAAGCCATTCCCTACAGGAAACAAAGAATGATGGTCGCTTTCATGTTCATACAAAGGCATATCTGGATGGCGCTATCCTCAGAGAAGTAATTTCTGTCTTCCCTCAAAACAAAACTTGTCTATTTTGTTTATCTGGTATTTATATTGGTCAGGGAATTCAGGCTGGCTATGTGGTTTTCATGGACTAGTTAAATGCCTTCCATGTAACAGCATGACTATTGGACATTTATAGCAACCTAAGGGATGCAACTCAGTGAATAATTGTTCAATTTATTTCAGGAAATGGAAAGGTCCGCTGATGTGCTTGCTGCAGGTTTGCTTGAGGTGGCTGACCCTTCTTTATCGGATAAATTTTTCCTTCGTCAGGTTAGCATAAAGGTTTTCAATTCAGCATATTGTGTGGTTGGAATATTTTGCTGGTGAACTTAAGTTTTAATGATCTATATTTTGGTGCCTATCAGAATTGGATGGATGAACCTGATGTTTCAAATGATTCTGTGCTGAAACATAAACCTCTTTGGGCTACATATCAATCAAAAATTAGCAAGAAGGTGAAGAAAATTGAAAAGAAGCAGGGGGATTTGCACCGAACCTATGGGACTAGGGTACTTCCAGTGTAAGCACTCAAACTCAGCTTGTAAGAGAGCGTTAGAGAGGGAGAGGGGGAGAAGGGTAAGATATAGAATCGGCTTTTAAGGGAGCAGCATGATGTTTGATATTTTCTTACAAAATGATATAATTATTTTTAGAAGTCAAGATAGAGTAGTACAACCTAGAACAGATCCTAGAATAGATCCTGTTCAAGTAAGGTCATCAAAATTACCTATTGTAAATCCTTTTTATGTTTGAAGTTTTTATTACCCTAAGCACAATTCCTTTTCTTATTTCCAATTTGTTGGTGTTTCCTCTGGGGTTTAAAATTTATCCTAATGTGTCAGTTTTCATGCCTAAAAAAGAAATAATGAGAAACAAAAAAGGGAAGAAAAAAAATAACATCTGGTTTCTCTGGTTCTAAATTAGTGTTAGACTTGAAACATCAGATTGAATGGTGCAACTTTCTAATGTTTAGCCTTGATGAAATGAATATCTATAATCGTTATTTATACTTATAATAGTCATCAAGAACCAAGCTCATGTCATCGTCTCCTTTTCTGCAGTTTTATCCTATCATTGGCTGACGTTGATTCAAAACTCATGATGGAGGATGAAAGCCTGGTTTATGCAAGTAAAGATGTCGTTATCGTACTCGAGCATCAAAATGAGAAGATACCTCTGAGGTGAGTGGAAACTTACATCACTTGCCTTCCTATGTTTGCGTTGGGTGTTAATTGATGAATGCAATATGATCACTTCGCTACATTAGTTTACAGAATGTATCGTCCAAACCTTTCTGTAGATTTTCTTGTGAATTCCTGTTTGAACTGCTGGTAAATTAAAATGCAATGATTGATATCTCTCACCTTGAAGGGTATGATTAGCAATAGATTAAGGGCATTACAACTTCTTTCTCTTGCTAGTGTATACATTAAAAAATTACCTTAAGATGCATAAGGGAGTATTTTTTTTCCTCCCTCAGAAATGACTGGGTTAGACTGTCCCAATCTTTGTAGCAGTGGGCTCGTTGAAGTCCTTGTGTATTTGCCATTCATTGGGATGTTTTAGGAGATTTTGGTACGTTAACAATTCTTTGGTCCAAACTTGCTCATTTCTACATTGTTTACTTCCGACGTTTCTAGTGAAGAGTGGACTCTGTTCATTTTCCATCGTTTATACCCATTTTCTGAAGGTTCCGGCCCCATGTTTTGGTTATGCCCATTTGGTAATGTCTAATGTGCCTATTTATTCTTTCTTTCTTTTCTCATTTCCTATTTCCTGTTTTGTTGTTTCCTTTTTTTTTTGTTAGAAAGAATCCTTTTTTAGAAAGAAAAACTTGATAATTATTTATTGTACTTTCATTTTTGTCGAAAAAAGAAATATAAATATGTTTGATAACCATTTATTGATTCTTGTTCCCTGAAGTTCAAATTAAAAACAAATGTTTTACATGAAAATAAATCTTTTAAATAAAATAATCTTTGTTAAAAGGAATATAAAATGTTCAAAGATACAAACTCCAAAGGAGTGAAAGAGACAAAAAGATAAAACAGTAGAGGAAAATACAACCATAAGCAATATAAAAACCAATGAAAATTACAAAGGAGCAATAAAAGCCTTCCAATTATAATAGATCATACTAGGAGAGTAATTCGCAAAGATATTGGAAAGAGCATACCATTGAGACTTAGGAATGAAGCATTCTTGGCCAAATGGTTGTGGCGGTTATTTTAGGAGCCTAGTGCACTGTGGAAAGGATTACTGTGTACAAGTATGAGTCTCACCCTTTTGATTGGGTCTCTGTTAGGCCCCCAATTATAAAGACTTACCATAGAAAGGGCAAAGGGGTAATTGTGAGGGGAGAGGGCCCTAACGGCCAAGAGAGAGAAGTGGGGACCAGTGGGGACATGAACATGTAAGGGAAAGGGCCGCCACCTATAAGGCCAGGGGAATGTTGGGATGAGGGGATCATTCTAGACTTTTGTGCTCTTGCAGCTTTTGTTGGTAGGGAGAGATTACCCACCCTCTCGGATTGGTGGGTCCGTTTTGTGCCTGCGGGCTTGTTGTTCTTGCTTTGTATTGCCTACGGGCTTAATCGGAAGGAGTAAAAGCTATTGTGGGGGGACTGTTTCCTCACAGTCTCAGGTGGTTCACTTAAGGTTAGTGCTACTAATCTCTGAAAGGCTATATCTTCTGTCTTTCATTTTTTCTCCCCGTTCTTGAACTGTATTGTTGAGGATGGGATTGAAACCTACTTCTAGGAGGACCTGGATGGGTGATAAACCCCTTTGTTCTTTATTACCCCGCTTGTATCACCTTTCTAATATGAGGTAGCATTCTGTGGCCTTTGTGCTGGAGTCAAGTGGGGCGAGTCTGATATTTCTTTGGGTCTTTTTGTCGTCCCTTGTCGGTCCTGAACTGACTTCTCTAGTTGCGTAGTTTTAGCATGCCTTTTGTGAAGTGGGGAATTTGATGACCTCTCTTTCCTTTGTTATGGCTGTTGACACATTACCATAATAGCTCAGTTTGTTGTTTTGTGCAGTTATGTTTCCGAAACGCACAGAAGATATGCCGATCCATCACGGGCACAACGCCATATACTAGCGGGGCTTGCTTCAGCTGTTGGTGGTTTGACTGCACCTTATGAGAGGGCTTCTCACGTTCATGAGAGGCCAGTTGTAAATTGGCTCTGGGCAGCTGGTTGTCATCCATTTGGCCCATTCTCGAACACATCTCGAGTCAGTAAAATGCTTCAAGATGTTGCATTGGTAAGAATATGTTTGCTCGGATTTTCGTAAAACTGATTTTTTCCCCTTGACAACTGGGATACTAACAACCACACTCGTTTTATACTCATGACCCATCTCCCTATTTACTTGAGAGTTTGAACTTACGTACTCCAAAATCCCAAACCCTCGTGACCATGGAACCAACCATTTGTATGAGAGTGTAGATTGGTGTTCGAAAGTTCATTTCTTGGTTTAAATTGCAAAAACATATTTTCACTTTTATCTTTTTTCGGCAGAGGAACATAATATACGCACGCGTAGATTCAGCTCTTCACCGAATCCGAGATACATCAGAGGTAATTTTATTTTCGTCTGACCTTCTAGTATTGGCTTAGTGTGGTTTGATAATCGTTATTTCGATGTCAGACTATCCAAGCCTTTGCAGCAGAACATCTGAAAACTCCACTTGGTGAACCAGTGAAAGGCAAGAAGAACAAGACAACTACCGAGCTCTGGTTGGAGAAGTTCTATAAAAAAACCACCAACTTACCCGAACCGTTCCCCCACGAATTGGTCGAGCGGCTAGAGAAATATTTGGATGTAAGTCATTCAAACACATCAAAACAACTTCCATCATTCAAATGTCTTCAAACTATGACTGATTCTTTACATTCAAAAAACAGGGCCTTGAGGAACAGCTCGTGGATCTCTCGTCGCTATTATACGACCATCATCTACAAGATGCTCATTTGAACAGTTCAGAAATTTTCCAGAGCTCCATTTTTACCCAGCAGTAAGTTATTTAGATCATTTACCATAGTTGAATGGTGTTGATATAAATAAATCTGTGTGGCATTGAAGCTATAAGCCTTTGAAACGTATCTGTCGATTGTCGATCGTAGGTATGTCGATTACGTACTGAACGAAGAGAGGGAGAAGATGAGATGCTGCAGCATTGAGTACAAATATCCAGTGCAGTCTTCGCAAACTTACATCTATGGAGGAATTCTTCTAGCTGGGTTTGTAGTTTACTTTCTCGTCATCTTCTTTTCATCACCAGTGCGCTAACACTAAGGATAATATAGAGTAAAAATATTTTATATTTTAACACAAAATGTTCTTTTCTCAAGCCAATAGGATTCTAGAAAATTTTGACCATATTGGCAGATAATGTGGTGTGCTTTTTTACTTCATAGAATCGAAAAGCTTTTTTCCCCTTTTTCTTTTTAATAAATATATTAGTAAGTCATTGCCCGTTTATTAACGTTTCATGTTTTTTCGTTTTTCGTTTCTTATTTTCTAACTTTTGTTTATGATTTTCTCAAATAGAACTATATTTAGTGCCGTTCTTGTTTCTCGTGTCCATTTTTTTAATTTTTTTTTAGAAACAAACATGTTTGGTAAACCATCCTATTTCTCGTTTCTTAGAATAAGTGAAATTTTCAGAAACTACAAATTCGGCCACAATTGTTTCTCATCCCCGCGTATGCAGTTATATTTGATGACAATCTCCTATCAACCGTCTCTCTCTCTCTCTCTCTCTCACCTAACATTTGCTTTTCATTTTTTTTATTTTATTGATAATTTCTTTATTTCTCATTAAATTTTATTAAATTTGTTAACTTGTCATTCTTCTGTTTTTCTCTTCAGTTTTTTAATATTTTTGAAATATTAACCAAATTAAAGAAAAAACAACAAATATATTCATGTTTTTTAAAACAAGACTAAAATTCTAGTTTAATTATTTTAATTGTACTAGACTTTATAAACTCTTGATAAATATTTCTTAATTATTTTAATGCATATTATATACTTTGTGTCTACTAAATTTTATTTCAACTATATGAAAAAATAGACAGAGAATAGTTACGGAACACTTTTTTCTCTTTGTTTTTTTCCAAGAAAAAATAAACAAAATAAGTACCAAACATATTTAGTTCTATAAAAACTAGAAACGGCCGAGTGAGCCTTAAGTATTTTGTTTATTGTTCTTTTTTTTATTGAAAAAAAAACGTGTTTGTTAACAAGTTTTTATTTTTTTCCTCTAAAATTTTTGATTACAAAATAAATATATATATATATATATATATAATTTCAAATTTCAAATTTCAAATTTCAAATTATATATTCAATTTTTTACGTTATATTTAATTTTTGATATCTATGCCTTTTTAAAATAACAATAAAAAATATTACTTTTATCAATGTTTTTGGAGAAAAAAAAAAGAGAGAAGTAGGAACAATGGAACAATAAACATTAAACTGGATTTTTTTACTTTTTTTTTGGTTTTATAAATTTCTACACATTATTGAAACCTTTCTTAAAAAACTAAGACGAAAAATATAATAGTTATGAAGTACTTGTGCAGATTTGAAAATGAGAAACATAATTTTAACTTTTCCAATTCATCAATTAACTTGGCAATGCCTATTGTCGGATATATTATTTTGTTTTGATCAATTACTTAGGTCTGTCCAAGACTAAATTAATAATTTAAACTATAGTTAATTAACCCGATCTCTTAAAATCAAGGGCTTTACATTTCTTTTCTTTTCTTATTTTTTTTCTTTAATAAATCACTAAAATCTTTCAACCGTTAAAAGATCACAAATATTGATTTTCAAACATCCAAATTCTAGTTTTTAAATTTTGGAATTAAAAACTAAGAAAAACAAATTATTAAAAATAGATTTTTTCCCCTCAAAATTTCACCCTTTTTTTTCTAGACACTATCTCACTCGTTTCAACAAATTCTTGTAACTTACATGTCTTATGCATTTTTTTTCCTCCCCAACTTTGCTCACTCTTATCCTAATCTTTTTCCAAACATATTGTTCTCTTTAATTTCAAAGCTGAAATTAAAAGGTTTACCATGAACATTTTTTTATATTAAATTCAATCCCTTATCTCGACACAAACATATCATTCCTAACCATAATAGGAATAAAACATCTAAATCAAAATAATATCTAAAATTAAATGTAATTGCAAACCACATACTCGCTTTTCGAGCACGAGAGATCACGAACTTGATTTTCTGATACGAGAGATCACGAACTAAATATTCTGTTTTCGTTTGTAATGATGGAACCAACTCAACGGCGACTTAGAATCAAAATCTCATGATGTTATCCCATGCTATATAAAGAGCATAGGTTTAAGGACATGAGCACATCCCGGCAGAGAGGAAGAGCCGGTCGGTGCGCACCATAGGTGGACCGACCGACCCAACCCAAGGTCCAACTACGAGCTTTTTAACTGCACATCCCGACTGGCACCAATCCAATTGATCCTCGTCAAGGGATTTAGATTGTAGTCATTCCAATTACCAAACTCGAAGAGCCCGATATTGTTATTTATTGTCACTCCCTCTCCATGTTAGGATTGGTAGCCGTTTCTCATGCTCCCTCTCCGAAATCAAACCCTAATTATCCGTCACTCATCACCACCATAGTAGGCCACTCTATCCTACCATCAAAAGTTGATAGGGCATAAATTTGAATGATGTGTAGCGTCTTCCAAGCATACAGCAAAGTAAAAAAGAAAAAAGAAATCCATATTGGCGTCTTTCCAAGGAATAAGCACCAATCAAGAAAAATCCAAAGCAATTTGAAAATTCAAGGGATACAAGCAATTCAAAATTCTGATAAAAAAAAATACAGCTAGACAATTACAAAATAAGATTTCATTGAATTCAATACAAACATATCATCTTATTCATAATAAGATAATTCCAATTTGTAATAAGAAACCAAAATCATATCACCCCGTATATGTAACATGACAATGTGAAACTTCATTTTTTTGAGCTGTAATTATGATGTAAAAGACGGCTCTCCAAGCTTTGTTTGAACATATTAAAATTATGTATGATATCTCTTGTACTTGTCAAATTACAGGCTCCTCCCCATAACCCATTTCTCACCACAATGAAGTACTCCTTGGTCACTCTCGGGCATCCTCAGTGGTCTCGACAACTCATTTAAGTAAAAAGTGTGATGCTCATGTTGGTATCTCTATCTCAAGTATAAATCGGGTAGTATCATAGTACTAACTTTGTTTTGTCTGTTCTTCATGATACAAGTCCAAGCTTCACGACAGAACTTGATCAAACTGTCTTGGAATTTTTTCTAAACAATCTATAACAACAGTCATTTAGCTTTTTTTCCTTCCTGTTTTTGTTATTCTTCATAAATTGCAATGGTCAATTGCGAAATAATGAGGGTAACCAGATGAAAGCGGCCATTGTGTTGGGATATACATTTTCTATTAAGATTCAAATCTCATTATAATGTTACGATTTATTTTTCAAAATTAAATATTTAATTTATAAATATATTACTAAACAACATTTTAAATAGAGATTCAATTTTTAAATCCACTGCCAAACACACTTTTTAAAATTTTCACTGTTATAATAACTAATCTTTTCATTTATGGATATGCTTTTGGTGAAAAATAAGTCAATAGTCGATGTCATGCCTCGGCTCCGACGCTCGGCGACACTTGCATTCCAAAGGTTTGATATTTTTTTTATTTATTTTTAGTTTTAAATGATAATAAATTAATATTGTCCATTTATTTCTAAATTTTTAAAATCCACATTACTTTTAAGAACATTTATTAAAAATTAAAAAGTGACTTGTCTTCACAAAATATTTTTGCCTCTTATTGGTTAATGTTACTACAAAATTATTAACACTTTTATATTATTGAACACAAAAATTCAAGAACTTACTACTAAATCTTCAAGAAAAAAGTTTTTTCCTTTTATGATCTCATATTTCTCGGCATTTTCATGCTTATTTCGTAATTTCATATCAATTTCTAAGTGCATTAATTGAATCAAATTTAATTTAAACAATCTTATTCATAAACTTAAAAAATAATTCTGCCATTTTTTTCTACCACATTAAACAAAATCTAAAACGTAATTCGTTAAATAAAACAAACTTGAAGTAACATAATAGAACTTGCACCCGAAAAACAATCCAAGGAATTCAGAATTTTAATTTTAACAAATTCTAAATGGTCTAACATCACTAGTCCTACATAATGATATATTGATAATCAATTCTTTCCCTAGTCAAATATCAATACAGGTACGAAATGTTCGAGATCATATGATCCTTGTAACAATTAACAGGTTTGAAAAATCTACATGCCATGTGTATTAGTTACGAATACACATTAGAAAGTTAAAAATGTTCCACAACAATATTTAAAAACACTCAGCAACATGAAATACTTGATACTTTTCTCAAATGAGTATTGAAAAACTACTTCAAAGCGAGGTGTAAAGATCGAATAGAAAAACAGAGATCAGACATAGCTTTCTAGGCAGCAATTGTGCATCAAATTAAGCAGAAATTGTATCCGCTCAGAGCCCAGTGCATGTTCATCATTTCAAATTAACAATGGAAAAAATAAAATGAGAAGGAAAAGGAAAAGGACCGTAAAGAAAAATGGAAACAAAAAATAGGAATATAAAATGTGAATTCAAAAGGACTCCTCAGATAATATGCTTGTAATTTGTCATCAAAATTAGACTATCAGGTCTCAAAGATTTCATGCCATCACAGGAGCCGCAGAGCGAAAAATCAATCCAAATAAAATGCAAGAGAGATTCGCGATGAAAATCAAAATACTGAATCGAAGAGCAATTAGTAGGAAAAAGAGCCTGTAAAAAATGGAAACGAAAAACAAATCAACGCGAACGATGTGGAAGATCTAAAGAATAAGCCAATCCTCAAGGATTCTGTGCCATCACAGGAGTCACAGAGCGAAAACAGATTCAAAAACAAAACACGAGCGACACGAGAAGTAAACAAAAACATTAGAAATCAGTGCAATAGGTAGGAGGAAATGATTGTAGAAGTGGAAGAGGAAAACGCAACAAAAACAAGATATAATGGAGAAGTCGAGAAATTATCATATAGCATACGGATTTAGCAGGCTTTAATTCGCTGCGCCTGGCAAGTAGATCGAAGGCGAAGCAACTCAACATTCCTGCAACAAATCTTTGCCTCTCAATCAATAAGATGCGAATCGCCGATAATCCATGAAGGAATTAATGGCAAAATCGCTGGAGGCATTACAATGGAACATTTGCAAAACAAATCGGTGGAAAAAGAAATTGAGAAAGATGAGGAAGATGAGTACACTTCGCGCTTCTGTGAGAAAAATCGAGAGATATGAGACCGATGGGAACGGCCAGCGCTATTGTTATTTATAGGTGCGTGGGTAAGAATTAGGGTTTCATTTTTTAGACAAATAAATAAAATATATAATTGTTAATTCGATTTGTTCAACAAGCAGCGCCCATGGCCTAATGGATAAGGCGTCTGACTTCTAATCAGGCGATTGTGGGTTCGAGTCCCACTGGGCGTGTTCTTTTTTTCTTTCCATCAATTTAAATTTTTAGGCTTTTTCTTAGTTTTTAGTTTTAAATTAGTTGATTTACACAATATATGTACAACTTTCCATGTTATTAAATTGTTGTTCCATTAAGGAAATTTGAAATACTGTGTTCTTTTTTCTCAATCGATTTAGATTTTAAATTTGTAGACTTTTTTTTTTAGTTTTTAAATTAGTTTATTTTACATGATATATTTACAACTTTGTGTTATTAAATTGTTGTTCAGTTAAGAAAATTTGAAATTTGAAATATTATTCCCTACATAGCATGATTGATATGAGTGGTAGATTACTGACGAGGAATATCTAGGACAATGATAAGAAGATTGTATGTCACATTCAAGAACACAAGAACACAAGGCATCGCTCAAAGTAGATCTTAAATTAGTGTTTCTCTTTTTCATCAATTATTTCTCAATCATTAGTTCGTGGGTCACATTCTAAGGTTAACGAGATAGTAACCTATTACCAAATGTAGAGTGTGAATAAATAATGTAGAAAGTTAATGTCGGTTGTTAGGTTTTGTCGGGGAGTGGAAAGGGGAGATTGGGGGGTCTTGGATAGGAAATGAGTAACATGTCCACGCGTTTAAATAGACATCATAATAACATATTTATGTGTCTAAATTTCTTAATAATAACATAATTTAATTACACCTCAATTTTCTATTAAAATGAGTTGCAAATACTTAATACATTAGAGACAAAATTTATAGTTTTGAAACATCAAGGGTAAGCCTGTAGTTCTTGCATTCTTTGCTCCATAAATGTAACCATTATTTTATCTTCCCATCTCTTCAGTTTGAGTACTCACTGTCCATATTTGATATTTAGTATAGTCTTATAGAGAATATTCATTTTTCTACTAGTTTTTTTTTATTAACGGGATATTAATTAATAAACTAATTAAAATATATTTTTTTGTATAAAAAAACAATTTTAAAGAGTCAATATCGATATAGTTAATAAGACATCTTTACTAATTTTAAGAAGTTGTGTGTTATAATCTCGTCCTATTATATCAAATTTTGAAAAAACAATTTTAAAGATACAATACACATGTAATATAATTTACTAAACTCCAATCATTCATTATATTTTAATAGTTAAAATTATCATTATCGATAATATGTATGTGATTTATATCTAATATACTATTGATATGAGTGTTCGATATACTAATAATATAAGTGAAAATTTCTACTTTTTTTATTTAGGCAAAGTATAAAAATAAAAATAAAAAACATAATAGTGGTTCATTATTAAAAAATTTTAGGACCTAAGGGGGCATTTTTTAGGTTTGAAATAATATTAACAATAATATAGTTTTTAAAAGAATTAAAATTAAAAATTTAATTTTGTTACCGTTTTTAAGGGATTTAGAGTTAGATTTCAATTTGGTAGGTGGAATCTTTAGAAAATAGTTTTAAAAAACTCTCGAGGTAAAATTCCGTTAAAATCACTGTGCGAATACTGACGGTGATAAAATTATAATTTTAATAATATAATCTATTTTTTTTCGTTTTTCTTCCTCTCACTCTCTTCCTTCCTCATTTCCCAAATACTCCGTTCTTCAAATAACAACAAAAAGGAACAAAATTTCCCACCTTTCTCCATTTTTTAGCCTAAAAAATCTACCCCACCTATTCTCCATCACATATCAACTTCATTGCGCTCTGGCTTTTTCGCTCTGGTCCTCGGAAAGAGTTGATTTTGATCCTTTACTTTTAAAATATTCATTTTGATTTTTATAATTTTTAACTTTGATTCATTTTAATAATTGTATTTTTAAAATATTTGTTTTAGTCTATATACTTTTAAAAAGTGATCATCTTAGTTCTTATCTATAAATTCTTAACACAAATTTTATACCTAACGAAAACCCTTTAATATAAAATAATGGCTACTATATTGAATGTAGTCTCGTGTTGAAATTGTGAGAGAAAAACTGAAATTAGAAATAAAATTAAGGGATCAAAATGGTAACTCTTTAGACGACAGGGGTTGAAAATACAATGATTAAAATGAAACAAAAATCAAATTATAATGACAAAAATTAACATTTTGAAAACATGGAAACCCAAATAAATCAAAGCTAAAAGTATAATGATAAAAATTAAGAAGAACTAAATTTCCTAATTTAAAAATATTATAAATTTTCAAAAAGTACATAAACATAAAACATACATTAAAAACGAAAATATAATCTAACAACTCATTTATGAAAATAAATTCCAAACAAACTCTGTTTTTTAGTACAATGTGTGGGTACAAGGATTTGAATTCATGATATTTTGGTCATAAATAGGTGTCTAAACTAGTTGATCAATGCTAGGTTGGCTTCAAACAAACTCTATTAATGATCGAAATTTAGAACGAATATGAGAGATTGAAACGAGATGAAAGAATATCGATACTCCACATCTAGGTGAACAACTTCTACTAAACAACATACCTACACTAACTTTGTACCTCATAGACAAATACAACACGAGTAAGGTGTGGAGAGCTAGGAAAGATCGAAAAGGAAGGTCTTCAAACCTTGACCACCCCGACAGACCAACTTCAATAACAAACTTTTCAACAAGCATAACCGACGATACTGTCAGATTTCGACTTTATAATTAGATGGTATGCTGTATACAATCTAAACTCGACTTTAGACTTTAGGTCGAACCATCACTAACTTGAGCATCGAGATTTGATCAAAATATACCATAAACATTACTAAACATAAACTCGAATGAGAGATGGTCCCGAGTGTTTGGGAGAATTGCATAGAGCCACAACCCCAAGGATTGTTCCAAGTTCCATTCCACACCATGAATTTGTCCGCCTCCAATTATCGTCACCACACACGTCATCAAAAATTCTCCTCACATTCCTTTAATTTAAATAAAAACAAAATTAATAATAATAATAATAATAATAAAAAAGACCAAAGTCCCCTTGCAAAGAAAAGTCTACAAATCCCATTTCCCATTGCACCGTGCTTCCCAAGCCAAGCCTTTTCAATTCCAAAAAACGTGGGCCCCACAAGACTTGGAAGCCCAATTTCCTCCCCCTCCCTTCCTATTTAAGCCTTCGCGCTCTCTTCCTCCTCAGGTTTCTTCGATCCGCCATTGGTTTCTCGCCTCTGCTTTTTCTCCCCTTTCAAATCACAGAGAGAGAAGAGAGAGAGAGACGATGTGTCCCTCCGGTACAGCCGCCACCACCGCCACCTCCCCCGCCGATTTTCGCCAGGCATTCGAGGTGCTCGACGCCGACCGCGACGGAAAGATCAGCCGCGACGATCTTCGAAATTTCTACAGCGCCGACGCCGACGAAGATGCGATTGGCTCCATGATTTTGGTCGCCGATTTGAATCGGAACGGTTTTGTTGAGTACGACGAGTTTGAACGCGTATTGTCCGGTGGACGGAGGAGATCGGCGGGTATAATGGAGGAGGTGTTCAAGGCGATGGACAAGGACGGAGACGGACGGTTGAGCCACGCTGACCTGAAGAGTTACATGCATTTGGCCGGATTTTCAATCACCGATGAGGAGGTTGCGGCGATGATCAGATTTGGCGGTGCGGATGAAGCGGAGGGCGTTAGTTATGATGGATTGCTGAAGATCTTGGCCGTTGATAATATATTCTAGAACTCTTTCATCTCGCTGTTGTCTCTACAGGTCTACAGTTTTCAGGAAAGCATTTACGGAAAAAGCTCTTCCAAAAGCGCTTTCTCCGAGAGAAAAACGTGTAAAACGTTGTCGTAATTCTTGGAATCCGCTTCTTGTGATTTGCTCCTTCGTATGTTTCTTCTAGAGGTATTCAAATTTTATTTAATAATTTGTAATGTTTGAGTGAATCAAATGCGAAAAAAATTGGTTGAATTTTTTTCCCGCTTCGTTGTGAATGTGATTCGAAATGGAAGGGAAATCTAATTTTGTAAACTTGTTGTTGGAAAGCTTCTACTGTGTGATGGACACTAAATGGCCTTGTTTATGTAATTAATTATTCAAATAAGAAATTGTTTTTTTTTTTCTATTATCGTTTTTGTACACGAGTTTTTTTTCTTTAATCGAGAAATCCAACCGAATGCCTTCATAGGACAGCAAGGCTTCCTTAAGAGTATAATTTATTTATTAGGACAATTTATTTGTTGAAATTAAAACTCAATTAATTAATCATATTTATTCGGTGTTTAGAGTAGAGAGTTTCTTCTTATTTATATGTCAAATTCAGAGAGATTTGCGAGACCATGGATTTTTACATTTTTTCCTATTTTTCCTATTAATAACAAGATTAATCAATGCTTTTATTTTATTTTTTTATTTTTTTGAGTACATCAATAGTGTAATTATTATACCATAAATATATGGACAAAATACTAATAATGAAGATATGCTAAGTATGGATTAAATACTTCTACGATGTTATTTATTTTTTTTGAACGTCTAGTTATCTATCAAAATTTTCTTCAAATTTGGACCTCAATATTACATATTAAAGATGAAGAAGAAAAATCAATTTAAAAGATGTCTAGGGAAAGTTAAAATGACAGCTATTAGAAGAATTTAAAAAAAAAAAAAAAAATTCTCCACTAAGGACTGTCACCGTCTTGGTCGGCCAAGAAGTTTGGATTTATGTGTTATTTTAAGTTTGAAAAACAAAATTGTGAACTTTGGCTGATTCTGTTTATAAGTATTTCCAGAAATTGTGGAACAATACGAGCATAAATCTAATGTCAGTGAAATTTTCATCCACATGTTATAAACTTTTAAAATTTGGAACTGTAAACACCCCATTTAATCTGGTTCATTTTTATATCATTAATAAATATTTAAAAATAGAAATAATAAAAAATTAACTAAAAAAGATAAAATATGATTACTCAGGAAAAGTTTCAAGATGTACCATTTTTGGTAACTTTTGAGTTTTGCAAAAATGTTGTTATTTCAAGTTTACCCTTTTATTTATATTCATGTATTTTATCACTGATATATTTCATCTATCATTGAGACAAAAATTTTGAAATTTAATTTTCGAATTTTTTGTTATTTCAAGTTTACCTTTTTATTTATATCATATATTTTATCACTGATAAGTTATAACTAATATACTCCGTATGTGAAGTATATAAATCATTATATAAGTACCATCAAATTAGTAATTTTACCATAATTTTAAAGTTTTTGAAACCAATGCTGAAAACTGTTATGATATCTCTTCTATCAATTGTTTAACGATACTTTGAAACATGTGTTCTTAATGTGAGAAATAATTTATTTCCTGATAAATTCATCAAATTTAAGGTATTCATCACAATTTAGATTATTATCAAACACAATCATTTTAGGCCAAACCTTACTATATCTCCTCTAATGTTAAAATGTCTTTTTATAGATAACCTTCTAAATTAAATGTACCCAAGATTGTGAATGATATCTCTTAATTCTTTTAACAAAAAAGTGTCCAAAGAGCAAGGTTCAAAATGTTGAGAGACATGTCGACGTGTCTAGCATGTTGACATCGACATAGGGGGTAAAAGTCGATTTTCCCCCCATGTCGTGGACATGTTGAAATGTCGACATGTCGACATGTTTTTTTTTTCTTCATCTTCCTTAAGGTTATTTTATTTTCATCATCTTCTTACTATGCCACTATAGTCTATAATTTCTCACAACCTCGATGATTGTAATCTTAATCTATTCAATGAAACATTCGAATTTTAATACTGTATAACTAATAAGATTTGATATTTACTTTATTGATAATTTATAATCCAATCTAGTCATTACTTACACAATTGAACAATATATGTGAAATATTGATATATATATAAAGATTGAAATAATCTTAAAATTTTTTAAAAATAAATTATTATTATACACAAATAGTGGTGAAACATGAAGTAGAATATGTAACTTAATTAATATAAAAAAGATACGATCTCAGAGGATCTAGTGCACTATCTTGATAACTTTGATATAAATTATAATAGTTCTCTCCGGTCATCCTAGACTGAAAGTTTTGAACGTAGTTGCTCAAATAAGTAGAATATGAAGCACATATGAATCATATTGGTAGATAATTTGGATGAATGACACAATCACGAGGTTGAGGTGTTTGAAAATTGTGTAATTTTGATTGGAAAGTTGGATTGATGATTGATTTGAAAATGTGTAAATTCAAATTTGAAAAGAGAAGTAGGTAAAAAGTAAACAGGTACGAGTTAATTAGAATTTAGAAATGTGTTTGGAAATGAAGTCGGTAATTATCTCATTTTCAAATGAATCCTATTATGAAAAACACTAAAGTAGTCAAAAGTTTACAATTAAAGTTTACTTTACATATTCAAATAATTTCCATCTTAAATGAAAAAAAACTTTTTTCGATATTTCCATCGACATCAACATTTTCATAAGTAAAATAGTCATATTTTTACATTTAATGGTTAAAGGTGATCAAATATAGGCTAATTAAGCTACAATTCAAGTTTTATTTGCTAATTCAAAAAATTTCCATCAATTTCTACGATTTCCATTATTTTTTACGAAATATCCATCGATATCGATATTTTGAACACTGCTAAAGAGACATTCTTTAAACAATTCCATTTGGGTTAGGAAAAAGTTTATATGATGTTATTTTTAATTTAGAGTAAAACTGAACTTTCAACCCATAATTCCAAATGAATTTTTTGAAATAAAACATAACATATCAACATTTAAGTATATCATTGGTATATCGACATTCATATTAAGTATATTGACATTCAGATCAAGTATATCAATGGTATATAAAATCATGTCTATTAATGGTACATAAAATTAAGTTTATAAATAATATATTTATTGACTTTTTAGCTTTTAATTTCAAATTAATTAATTAATTAATAATGGTAATAAATTATTTTAAAGTATAAAGTCCATGCCACGATTTCAACCACTTTTAAATTATTTAAATCGGAACTTAAATGTAAAAGTTATATTCGAAACAAATTAAAAATAAAAATACACGTGACGATGGTAATGTGGCGGTTGAATCCTTCGTTGACCATTGAAAAATGGACGTGTGGGAAATGTGTCATTGAAGATGTAAAGAAATAAAAATAAAATAAAGATAAAAATAAGAGAAGTGAAAATAAAATAAAAAGAGGAATTAAGTTGCCGTTGGGTTAAAAAGAAAAAGAAAACTCAAACATGGGCTGGTAGGTTTGGATTAAAAGAAAAAAATAATAATAATAACCGTTGGAGTTTAATTTTAATATATATATATATATATTTTTCGATTCCACCTTAGCCCAATGTCCCAATTTAATATCTTTCCAACTTAATTCCCTCCTATTTAAATATTTTTCATCTTCTAAAATTATAGAACAAAATTTTGAGACTTTTTCTCTAGAAATCTTCATATTTCTTCTCTCCAGATTCCAATATTGATTTAAATTGCTCGGGAGAGATTAGCGCTTTTATTTTATAAGAATTTTTCTTACAAATTTATGAGTCTGTATATCAACTATTTTAAGAGAATTTGAGAGATTGTTTTTTAAATTCATATTCATTTGTAAGAGTTGATCTCGAGTCTGAAAAAGAATATTCCAACTGTTTGATTATGAACCATGAAAATGTTCGGATTTATTCTTCCTTTCGGAAAAAGAAAACGTCATACCAATTTGAATCACTATAAATTATTGATGTCGCGTTTTTTAGTCGAACATCCAAGAGAAGCTTGGTTGAGTAAAATACCCAAGAAGAGTTTCGAAGAGTAAAATATCCAAGTGGAGCTTGTCAAACCACTATAAATTCATGATGTCAATCTTTCTAACCCCTCTAAAATTAATTTTTATTATCATAGATTGCATGAAAAAATTACTATAATTTGTTATTCATGTTTATGGTCAATCTTTACATTAAAATTAATTATAAGACTTGAAATGTATTTCTAATTTATTGATTAATTTGTGATAAAATATTTTATTTGTAAAAAATCCACTTATTTGTTTAAATTGAGTCCACCTATTAAAAAGTATAAAATTTTTATTAAATCCTATTCACTCATCCATGGTTGCCAGTACCGGTCCAACAATATTAAATATGTATATCATAGATATATCAACACACACATATACCAGTAATTAAATAAGTTATATCAACAATAAGAGGTTCAATAATATATTGATGGTATATCGAGATACATATATATTGATAATTAAATAAAAACTATGAATTCAAGGTATATCATATATTAAATGATATGATTTGAACTATATCAATAATATATTAGATATTAAATGACATGACCAGGAGGTATATCAATAATATACATGCCCCTTCAAATTTTGCTATTTTTATAAAATTGAGATTTGTTTTTTAACGTTGTAAATAAATAAATAAATATATATATATTATTTTTTTTTGCTAATACTTGCAAGTGCCCCCAAATAAAGTTTAGAAAGTCAAAGTTTTTAAAAATTTTAGAAAAATAATATTATTTAAACTTAAAACCAAATCAAACTTAAAACTAAATCGGGCATTTATTTCGGTTAAGGCCGTATCAATATTATACGAAAAATTGAGGATTTGAAGGTCATATCTAAATTTGAATAAAAAAATCATAAAATCAAAATTTAATTTAATATACTTTTAAATTACTAAATTCAAATTAAATAAAATCTGCCAAATCCCTAGTTCTCTTTAGTCAGGGGTTCGGCCTTAGGAGATAGGAAGAAAACTCGGGGGGAAAAAAAAACTTCCACGTTGGAATACACTTTTTCTCTTGTCAAACTTTTTGACCCACGTTTTTCTATTTCCTCTACCCACTACGAGTGCATATGATTAAATATTAGTTTAATTTCAATCTAGTATTTATATATTTTTTTAAAAACGTAGCGATTTGATTTCTTTATAATAATTAATAAACATTACAAATATGAGGTATAGAGTGGAGTATTCAGTTTCTTTAGTGAGTTGATTCTTATTTTAGTAAACGTTGACAGTTTTTTTAGATGACATTTTTTAGGAATTAAACTAACATAAGTTTAATATATGTATTTTTTAAAATGAGAGAATAATTTTTTTTTTCCACAAACAGCATAAATTTGAATTTTCTAAATGTGTTTAATATTACATTTTCAGTTAGAGTTTGATTTTAACTATACTATTTTTGTAACATTTAAAATTTTATACTATATTTGAAAGTACACATTGATTTTGTGTTATTCATGTGAGTACCTCCATTTTCTTTGTCTCTCTATCATGTCAACGTCCCAAAAAATACCATGTAAAACTATGAAAATTTAATAATGCCAATAAGGGTGTAATTGGGTTTGGTCGTTTTTTTAATATATAAAATATATTAATAGTCCAGGGTTTCTATTCCATTTAAATCCAAAATACAAGATTCAAGGTACTGGTGTGGGTTTTATTTTTCGGGACATTCTATCTTCCGCCACTTTTAGCCGAGCTTCTCGCGATTCTAGAAGGATTGGAACAAGCTCAAACTCTTAACTGCAGGAAAATTGTGGTGGAATCGGATTTCCTTCAAGCAATTTCTCTTCTTCAACAAAAGTCGAAATCTTTGGCAGCCTCAAGCGTCTGGGTCCACGACATCTTGCAACGAGCTGGTCTTTTTGATTCTTGCTCCTTCAATTATGTCCCTCGTGCTTCAAACCGCCCAGCATATTCTTTGGCTAAATGTGGGTTTCAATCGGGTTTTTCCAATATCTGCCCATCTTCTTTTCCCCTGTGACTTTGTGGCCTTGCTGAGGAGGATCTATTATCTTCTATTACCCCGTGGCTTCTTCTTAATACATAAGCATTATCATTTCAGAGAAAAAAAAAAATCCAAAATACAAATATGCAAAACGTCACAATACAAGACGCTCTTGTTATGGTTAGATCATCAAGATAGCTTGTCCCACGTGTACCTATACTTGAGAGTAGGTTTAAGTCTTGTTTGTCATTCCTCGTTAATTACTTTAAGTAAAGTATAGTCCTTCATTATTTTCTGCAGTCGGCCAAGTTATGTGGAATCTCTTTAAGATCTTTATTAAAGAGATGAATCTTCCTCGAGAAGAATTACACAAGTATCCTCCAAACTAAAATCGGAATACTTGCCACATCTTGAAAAATTCTACCATGCAGATTAAATTAAAAATTTTAAAATTGTAGAAATTTTAAAATTAGAAAGACCAACTTAGTAACATGCGCAGTAAAATAACAAAAAACGGGAAAAATGAAAAAAAAAAAATAAAAAAGAAGAAAAAAGAAACGGGTATCATTCGGGCTCCCGCCAAAGGGTAGATTGGAGGAAAGGAAGAAAAAATTGTATCGAACTTCAGGGAAAGATCGCGCACGACCTTCAAAGCTTTTCGCCAGTAATCGCAATCGGAATCGCAACGGTATCTTTCTTCTGCTATCGGTTCCATTCCGATTTCGCACTCGAATCTGATCTCTCGTTAAGTGCCGTTCATCTTCAATTCGAGAAACTACTGCATTTTCTTCAGTTTCTGATGACAAGATGGTTGATCTTTAACAAGAATCCAGGGTTTTCCAGTCATTTTCGGAGGTTTGATGTCAATGAAGCTGAAGAAAGTGGACGAATATTTCGAATGGAAGCTGAATGAATCGGTATGTTCTCGGCCATCGTGCTTGATTGTTCTTGGAGACTCTATCTGCTGCGTGAGTAAATATTTGTAATTAGTTATTTGTATTAAGCAGCTGTGAATGATTATTGGACAGGAGTAATATAATTTCTCTTATTCATCTGAGTAACCATCACTTCCACTGCACGAGTAAATGGATCCTTCAGTTTCATGAATTTATTTCATAGCCAGATGATTCAGCGTGAAATTTATATAAGCTATGGAAGTGTCCTGTTTGATTGGATAGATATTCGAATTACGTAGTGACGTCAATAGTTATTCCATTGCAGGGATTCATACTTTGAAATTACGATTTCCAGTTTTCCTCTCATTTTGTTTTGTTTCTGTTTCTGGTGATTGTCCACTTACACGGAGGAGCTACTCGCATTTCAATGAATTGTCGTTCTCTTAGTCATGAATCCGGTTGATGTAGATTCTCAGTCTAAGAAGCTTCCGGATGCGTTGATTCTTGATAGAGATCGTCTCAAATGAATTCTTCGTCTGAAGAGAGATTCAGGTTAGTCGTACATTCATCGGAAAAGTCATCTAGCGTTTATTGGATGTGGATCTTTGCTCTGTTCGATAATTTTCCATCTAAAATTGGGGTTTTGAAGATCTAGTGTTGAATCCGCTTCCAATTTGTCATTGTTGTGCAAAAATGTGCCTGTTATTCTCTAAAGTCCAAACCAAATCAGCTTAAATTGTCGGTTCCTTTCATGTTTGCCTTTACGTATATCTACGTTCATGCTTCCACAAGTTGCAGAATTGTTGTGCTGATCTGAATCGTTTCATACAAGAATGATACAGAACTGGTGATTGTGGATTATACACTGCGAATTGATGGATATAAAACCTGTGAATTAGTCGAGTACAAGTTTGATTACCCAGAGATGTCCCTAGTAACTTGTATGCTTGCATTCACTTACTAACTTCTAAGTTCTAAGTTTATTACTTATGTCGGTTCAAATTTACATAAACTTAGATGGTAACACATGTCCTGGTGGTTGCTTATAGTTATAGATTGTGGCTTAATGCTGTCTTAACTGAATAAAACAAGGCAGGAAGAGGCGTAGCATTTGCAAGTTAGAATGCTAGCTACACGTACGGTTTCCAATACATAGCTCTATAATGGACATGTCTAGGCACCATATATTGAGATTTGGTATATGGAATGGAACTCTTCTTTTACGATGAAACATGTTTTAGAGCACTTTTCTCCTGCCAGCTGAAGTTCCTTGGTTAAATAATGATACTCCATCATTTGTTTTCCTCCATTATCCGTATCACTGATGCACCATGAAAACTTTTAATCACGTACCTCTGAACTTATCTCCACTTCTGTCATTTAAATATTGCATTCCTATCTATATATAACCTGGAATTCTTGTACTTCTTATGCACAAAATTGCATGGTCAACTCATTAGTTTATGAAATTGATCTCTGTAGATGAAATTTACTGATCTATTCTTGATGAATATCTTCTTAAGAACTTTGTGTCCGATGACTATCCTCTGAATTTCTTAATTCTAAATGTTGTAGCATCAAGTAATAGATTTATTGAGTCGGTCAAAGTGTGTATCAACTGGTTAAAAAAATTAATTGAACTGCTCAATATCTTATTTCTTAATTTTAGAGATGGTTATATTTTTCAGGAAGTTTGGAGTAAATGGAAGAAAAAGTCGATTTGATTTTTGAACTGTTTAATATTAAGGATGAATTTGTCTCAAAGTTCTTTGATTGAATTTCCTTACTAGCTGTTGGTCATTTCTAGTTCCAGTGATATTACGTCCATTAGTTTTCAAGGATTTTATTTTCGGGTAACCATCATGGTATGGTTTAGTGCTCAATAAGGATCCATGTAAATAGCAAAGGGCTTTTGCAAAGGGTTCAGAGGGAATGAGTTTGTCAACCAAATATAGTAGGATCAGACGGTTGGCCCGTGATTAGTCGAGGTGTTCGCAAACTGGTCCGGACGTATGAATAAAAAAAAAGAAAAAATTTATGGTTGGAGTTTGAGTGGAAAATTGGGTTTTTTGTTTGGTGACACAGCCAAAAGTGAAGATGCTCAATAGTTCTCCCGTTGAAGGGAAGACAACGAACACTTTATGATGGAAAATGTCGTGGGTGTCACTGAGACGACTTTGAATTTCTGCACATTCTTATAACAGAATCAAGAATCTTTGGTTTGGTTTTACCCATCGAGATGGATTTGTAGCGTATGCTGTAGCACTTATCCGGATCTAAACATCGGAAGTTCGAATTCTCACTCCAACCTATTGAATTCGGAAGGAAGAAGAAGAAAAACCAAATGTTAGCAGATGAGACCTTATGTGGATTTCATTTTTCTTTCTTTCGTTCCTTTTTTTTTTATTTTAAATTTTCATTTTGTCAAACAGATGTTATCTATCAAATGAATTGATAGCGTGGCAGAAGGAGTCAACCCTCTCATTTTTTGAGAGGGTGAATTTGAATAACTGTAAAGTAGAACCACTGAAAACGATGTCTTCTGGCACTGAAAAGGAAAGTAGAAAATGGAAACCTTTACAGGCCAGAATCAGACTGCAGTGCACTGGCGGGGTTCCTTTGTTTTTTTTCCCTCTCTGGGGAGGATTTGAACATGTGAGTGATTGGTTTTTCAGTTTTATTGGTCTAGACATCATTACACTTAGTCTCTAATTTTGTTAAAGAAAAATATTTAGTTGGTTACCAATCATCCATATTTTGCTAACCACTGTTAAATATTCTATAGGTAGGATTTTTTCTGTTTTTCATAAAATAAAAACCTATCAAATTTTTATTGGTGATCAGTCTAAAATTGGGAACTGATCGGTGAGTACTTAAGTATTGTTATTTTTTCAATAGGCACTACGATAATTATAGGGTATTTCAAGGTTAGGTTAGGCCGAGAAACTTTTTGGGTCCAACCTAATTGTCTAGGTTTCAAATTTGTCTAATTCAAATGGTCTTAGTTTAGATGCAGAGCCCACTCAATCTAAACCTGAAATGTCTGGGTTGAGTCCATCTGTTCAAATTATTTATGAAAAATATGTTAAAAGAATAGTGAAAGGCCAAGTATCTTAGAGAATCGGCAGATTTATGTGAAATTTTATTTCATGACGATATACTCCATGAATTCAAAGAGTAGTTTAAAAAATTGTTGAAGAATGAAAAATCTGATAGGAATTATTAGATGAAATGAAGTTAAGATAGATGCATTTGTATGTAATTTTATAATAAACAAGACTTGGTTCATAAATGAACTCAACTCATACAAATTAGGTGGTTGTGGATGGACTTTTCTAACCCTTGGTTGCTTTAAGTTGGTTGTTGAATAATTATAAGATTCAACAACTACATTACTTGGGTTTAGTTGCCTAAATTCGACAGTTCAATCGCACAGTGGTGAATTAGTTGAGGTAAAGCAAGTTGGTTGGCTATATGATTATGATATTAATGTTTAATTGGGAAAGGTTGGGATGTGGTTCACTTTATCATTTTAAAGGGATGATTTGGTGTAATCCACCAAAGTTGCTAATGGAAAAGTGAACACCTTGAAAGAAAGCTGGATCTCTCTACTGTACTTTGCACAAATGAATCGATCAAAGAAATCCACCGACTTTTTTTTTCTTTTTTTTTAGTACAACATGTTGGAGAGGAGGATTCGAATTCACAACCTCTTGGTTGGATATATATGTCAATTACCGCTGAGCTATGCTCGCTTTGACAGAAATCCACCGACTTGGCAATACTGAAATGCGTGCAAAAGAGGGAGACTTTGAAAACTAGGGCATGAAATAAGTGGGTTCAAAATATGCAATGGTTTTCGACGAATGAAGAAAACGTGGGTTCAAAATATCATAAGAAAATTTAGGTCATTTATGAAGTCCGAAGTGAAGCAAATGAAGAAAGGGAGCAAAGGAGCGGTATAGCACATGATCTAGCTAATAATATGAGACAATAGTGCATAGGCGCTATACTTGGGTGCATAGGCACAACTGCAGCATCGTGGCGTTACTATTTGAAGCGTTTTTTGATTTTGGAGCGCCATGACACTAGTTTATGTAGCTATCAAAGTTCTATGTGTTTCTTATTTAAGCAAGGAATTTCTGTTTCGTTAGATGTGAGCCACTGTGAATTACCAGCAACTGTCGAGGAGAAGTGAGAGTAAAGAATGCAACATATAGTTCTTCTTTGAGGCGTAAGTGAGATCTTCTTTGAGGCGTAAGAGAGATATATGATTGTGGTGGTTCCTAAGAGAATTAGGTAATCATTATTGTGGTATCTTGGGAAAGCTTTGTAGAGCATTGAAAGGCGTATTGTAATCTTCACATTATAATAGAACTTGCAATTACAGAAAATTGGACATAGTCTCGAACTCGAGACAAACCAATATAAATTTTGGTGTTAGTTTTTCCAACTGATCTAGACCGTTTTTAATGAACTAGCATATCTTTTGGGTTAGAATTATAAATATTAGTTTAATATATATTTCATTTATGAAAATAAGAACATTGAACAATACTACTCAAAAAGGTTGGGACAAACTAGTTATTAGCAATTATTGAAGGAAAAAAACATCTAAAAGAGTTGGTTGAATGAGATGATATATATTATTTAATTAGTAAAGTCTTATTAGGTCTCTTCTACTCTAACAAGTTTTATAAGAATTCAAACGAATTTAACCCAACTCAATTGAAACGGTTTGGATTGAGTTGATAAAATTTTTTTGATTCTTTGATTGAAAAGTTTTCTCAATTGAAGGTTTTTTTTTTTTTTGGAAGTTTCTTCTTTGTGCATGAGTTTGATAGATAGATATTATTTTGTTCCAATTCATCATTCCAACATCTCTTTTTAAGTTTTTAGAATGGGATGAATTTTTTTTAACCTATCTTTAATGACCGCAGGAGTTTTCAACCCAATGTCATTTGTTGGGGAGATGGTAAGTGTTGAATGAATTAGCACAGTTCTGATACTATTTGTGGAATAAATTAGCTTAAAAAGAAATAGACAATCACTTGAAGAAATAAATTTTTATTGGAAAAATATAAATATTGACACTCTTTGATAGAAGACTCTCTAACACTCTCTCACTTTCCTTACTTTATTCACTAGCTACTATTGATTCATTCTTTTTATTTTATTGACTCGCCAATGGGACATCTCTCCTATTTACAGGAGATGAATCTTTGGAACCCAAACAAAAAGATCTTTCTAACCTCCTTTTAAACTTTACATATTATAGATACTTCTTTATTTATGTTTATCCAAAAGATTTCTCTAGAATTCTTTGGAACTAAGGGAAAAGCTTAAGATATTTGTAGAACATCTTTTTATATATATATTTACAATCTTCAAGAATAATTTAGAAAGACTAATATTATCTGAGAGAGATTTGTGAAGATTTCAAGAAACTTCTAGATAGTTAGTGTTGTACTTTAACACTCCCCATCAACACGAACTATTCTAGCTCTTTTGATCATTCTGAGTTGTTGTCAAAACTCTGCATGCTTGGATGTTGTTTAGTAAATATGTCTACAATTTGATCTCCTGTCTTTATTGGCTTCATATCAAATTCTTCTTGAAGTATCTTCTCTATGATGAAGTGATAATATACCTCCACATGCTTGGTTCTTGCATGGAATACTGGATTCTTGGTTAAGCGAAGTGCAGACTGGTTGTCACAATATAATGTCAGATTAACTTATTGGTATAAATCCTTCATTAGTTGTTTTATCCACATATTCTCCTGTGTGGCTATGGCTGCGCTTCGATATTCTGCTTTTGTGGTAGACAATGAAACTGTTGGTGGTCTCTTGCTGCAGCATAAATTTGTCGGATTATTGACATTTGATTATATTACTCTTAAAAGAAAATTGGCCCCCAACTGTGACTGATTAATGAATTTCATTTTGCCTTGCCTTTCAGCTGCCTGTTGTCTATTTTATTGTGTTTCATCCGAGGGAGGCAGTCTCTCTGGCGCATCATAATGCCTCTTCATCTTTTTAGGTAATTTAATTTAATCTTCTTATCACCTTTATTTCTTAAGGTTTCTCATTTGGGTATCCTTAAAAAAAGTGTGTTGATTACACATGGCAAAAATGATTCTTTTTTTGGAGACTAGGTATTGAGAATTGGCCCAAAAACACAATGATTTCGACGCATATACTTTTTAAACCCTCCAACTTCTTATTGGTTTAAATATCCGTTGATTTCTCTTCTTTCGACTTTGATTTATTTTAGTTATTTTACTTTCAAAACGTCCATTTTTCCATTTTGATTTAAGTTATTTACCAAACACAAACACTACATTTGAAACTCATTTCTTTACCCACCCACTAGACGTAGGGCAATCCCATCACCAACCATATTATTATTCTCAAGCTTCCCATTTATAAGTTGCTCGATCCCAGCATTAACCAATATAGGACACACAATGATCCAAATTATTATTATTATTATTTTGAAATGATGATGGATGGGATAGCATTATCTCAACCAAATGAGTTGACCAGAATACAAGGCAAACATGAGGCCAGGCCAAGCTGTGTTGTATGTATTTACAACACTGGCAAACAAAGCAAAAGGCAAATGTTTTGATATATTTTTTCTTCTTTCTATCTTTATTTATATATATATATATATATATATATATATGGTAAGAGGAAGAGGACAGACGTGGCAGTGGCAGGAAATGTGGAGCATACCTGTCTGTATCTCTTTAAAGTAGGAAAACTCCAAAACACCACCAAATACGAGACCAAGGCTGCCTGAGGAGAGCCCTAAGAAAATAATAATAATAATAAAAATAAAATTTGGTTAAATATTATTTTAATCTATCCACTTTTTGTATTGGTCTATACCCTTCTAAAATATTTATTCTAGTTGATGTACTTTTGTTCATTTTATCTCGTGCACTTCTAAAATGTTCATTTTGATTCTTATATATTCGACTTTGATTCATTTTGTCTATATACCTTCAAAACGTTCATTTTCTTTTTGATATCTGTCTGTTCAGGTCAATTTACGCGTACATCGACTAATCATGAGATAACTGTCCGATTCTATTATATTAAGCTCGGGTAGGTGGTCACCATGGTTTGAATCTATTCCCTTTTTAAGTTCCTTACTATTTACATCGGTTCTTATTGATCACTAGACAAACTTATGATGGTTTTAAAATGTATACTTTCGAGTTTTGTTCATTTTAGTCCATGTACTTTTAAAACGCCTATTTTTCGTCGTTGTACTTTCGAATTTGATTTATTTTGGTCAAGGTAATTTCAAAACACCTATTTTTAGTCCATGTATTTTCAACTCTAGTTAATTTTAGTCTATGTACTCTCAAACGTTTTTTTTTTGTCCATCCATTTTTGAAAAGTGATTATTTTGGTTCATTTATTTTCATTGTTGTATAATTTTTTTCGATCACAATTTTTAAATAACAGTTCACTCATTGAATTAATTACAAGATTTCAAATGTATATAAAATATCTGTATTTAAATTTTACGAATATGAATTGAATGAGTCATTTTTAAAAAATATAAGATATTTTAAATATTTTAAAAGTACAACAAATAAAAAACCAGTAAAGAAATCAAAATAAACTCTGTAAAACTACCACGTTGAAAATAAACAAAAGTCAAAAGTGTACGAAACAAAATAAAATAATCTTTAAAAGAAAAGAAAAAAGAAAGAAAGAAAGAAAGAAACGACCCACATTGCACATGCACCACCCTTTTGCTTTATTGTTTGTTGTTATTATTTTATATTAGATCACCACCTCCACTACCAATAATCATTGCACGGAATTATAATATTTTTAAAGCAAAACATAATGCAATAGCAATAGCAATAGCAATAGCCAATAGCACTTTTTATTATTTATTATTTATTGTTTTGGTTGCTCAATTAGTGGTACCCAAATTCCCCCATTGGTGATTCCATCCTCCTACCTCTTGCCGGTACGCCCACTCCCTACTTTATATACCTCTCTCGTAGCCCTCTTTTTAGGGGTTTCAATTTTAGCACAATTTAGGTTTCAAGGTAATTCAATCTTTAATATGAAATTTGGGTAAATTATGGCCCCTACCGTTATTTTTTATTTTCTCACTTTTAATAAATTCAAAAAAGACATGTTTTGAATTTTGATAACTATTATTTAACGTTTTCTAAAATTTTAATCAAATATTTATCTTTTATGTTACATTTATTATGCATGTTATGATTAAATAATTTTATTTATTTTATTTATGTTAGAACGAAACATAAACCAGAATCCAGAAACAAGGTCGTCACTATATGGGTCTTTATGTTTTATTAACTTATCAATTTAGATTATGAATCTTGAAGATTGTGTTTATTTTACTTCTTCAAATGGTAAAATAAAGTGGAAGAAGTTGATCCTTGGATAGAATAAAGTGGCATAGTTTAAATGATTTGGCATGATATACCATTTATTTTGTTTGAGTGTCTATCATTTTATTTCCATTTGTTATGATGTCATTCCAAGTCAATCATTATTTGTTCGATATGAGAGCTACATAAAATCACAATTTAAAATTCAAGGATGTGATTGAAACTTTCTAAAATTTAGAGGATTTAAGACTACATTTTACTCGTTTAAACTGTGTTTAAAACATGTTCAACATTAAATTGTCAAGAGTGGGCTCATCAACAATATTTTTGTCAATATTGTTGAAAAGTATATTAATTAATATTTATTTTTTTATTTAAAAAATAAAAAGAAAAGATATATTGATATATGTGGGTGAAATTTTATGATAAAAATACAATTTTTTGTATGAGTGATACATCAACCAACCTTGCCTTTTAATTTAGTTATCTATCTAACATTCCATAAAAGATATGTCATTGGGTATGGAATACTCACTTTCTTTTCTTCATATTCTCATTCTTTTGGGCCTCTTTTGTTTTAAGAGTAGGCATTAATTTTTTGTTTTCTATTGTATTTTCTAATTTTAAATGTTGTATACAAGTTTGTATTAGGTATGTTAATTTGGCAAAAAAATTATACGAGAAGGAAGAATGTCCTACCTAAGTTTTGAAAAGAATAATAAGCTTAATCTGGACATTTGATAGTCATGTTTTTTTAAAATATCATATATTTTTAGGAATAAGAATTTAGTTTTTAATAGTTGGGTGAGCTCGATATTTTACGTGTTAATGTTTTGTGTAATGTCAAGTTGACTTATTTGTTGGTATTTTTTTACGTCTTTTTGGTAGGCATTTTTATTCTATTTGTGCCTTGATTTGAGACGGTGAGATCCATTTTTCTCTTACCATATATTTTAACATTTGAAAAAAAATGTCAAAGTTGATTCCTTTTTAAGTCACATGCATCAAATTTAGTATTTAATTATGTAAAAAAATGGCGCACAATGTAAAAATAGGTATAATTTAAAAGTTTAATTATAAAACTAAATAAATTTTTGTAAACGAATATAAAAGTGAAGTATAAATGTGGAATTCTAAAAAAGAAAAATATATTTAGAATGATTTTATTTTGGTTGAATTACAAATTTTCTTTCATTGAGTGACTGTGATTTAGGTTCCATTTTTCAGGTAGTTTTAAAAATATTTCAGTTTGATTATTATAATTTTAAAAATTTTAATTTGATATCTATAATTTACCTTTTATCCATTTGAAAAGTTATCTATTTTTTTTTCTTTTTACTCCGTCTTAAATTTTAATACAGTCGGCTAACAAAATTAAGAACATACAGTCGGCTAACAAAATTAAGAACACGGAAGATTAGAAACTATATACTAAAATAATTTTTATTAAAGTTTTCAAAAACTATAAAGATTAAATTAAAATTATGCCCAAATTATTGGGGGCTAAAATGGTAATTTAACGGAGATTAAGTGGAAGTTTGATGGGGGATCTGGCAGCAGTGGGGCATGGGGCCACGTGCAGCGCGGCGTAGTGGCTAAAAAGGTTTGTCACCGAAGGCATACTTAAGGCAGAAGCAGAACGAAGTGGCCGGGCAGCTCGGGCAGCGCGGGCACCCACAATGGGCCAAACCGCTAAAAGTCAAGTCAAAGGTGTGTGGGATGGGCCGGATGGGAGCTGAAATGAAAGAGGGAAAATTTAAACAATATAAATAAAATTAGAACCAGTGAAATAAAATTAAAAGGTTAAAAATTACAAGAATAACTTTAAATTTTCCACGTTATTTTAAAAATTAAAAATATTTCTATCTTTCCCAAGTCTGTCAATATTACTTTTAACCTTTTATAAACCTTTCAAAAGTATCGTTTAGTAAATATCAGTTAATATTTTGAATCAAAAGTTGGTGCGATAGAATTTGAAACTGCATGAAAAATTAAGGTGTAGTTTACCTAGATTGAGTAAATTGAGAGATTTGGACAAAATTAAGTATAATTTGATTTTGTTCTCCCTCTTTTCAAACTTAATCCAAACAAAAACTTCTATATTGATTTTTACGTCGTTTTAAATTCTGTCACATCAAGTTTTCATTCAAAGTATTAGTTGAGATGTTTGATCAAGATGTACTTTTAAAAAGTTTATGAAATGTGAAAGGTAGTATTGACGGGTATTTTTGGAACGGTAAAGTTTTTTTTTATTATTATTAGTTTTCTAATACAACAAGTGAGGGTGGAGGATTTGAACTCATAATTTTTTTCGTTAAAGACATATGTGCAAATTAGTTCTGAACTAAACTCATGTCGGCGAAATGACAGATTAAGAGATCATATATATATTTGAAATTTAGCCCAAATTTAGCACACATAAAATAATAATAATAATAATAATAATAATAATAATAATAAAAGAAATGTGGTTTTAATGAGAATCATAACTCTGCTCTTATCTTTTTAATCCCCTTTATAACCCCTCTCTCCACCGTTCCCGCTTTCTCTCCCCACTTCACAGTCGGCTTTCCTCAACAAACTCCGTTCCGTTTCTCCTAATTCCTCTCTCTTCGCCACCGTTCTCCTCTGAATTATGTCATCGTCGTTGCTCGATCGCTTCGAATTTGGATTCGTTTCTCTCTGAATCGCCGTGAAAGGTATCGATCTTATAGGATTTTCTCCGTTGTTCCTGTACTTCTTATTGTAATTCGTGCGTCATTGATTGTTCTTTGTTCATCTACTGCTTTTACTCCCTTGGATTTCATCTATTGATGTTGATTCACTTGATTGTTCGACCTTCTTTGGATTTGCTCTGGTTGTTTGATCTTATTTTTGTTGATTGTGTGGTTGCGTGTTTGATTGGTTTCTGTTTTAAATGAACCGTAACGGAATTGCGTGTGTTTTTTTGTGGACGAACCGATCGATTTACGTTTCTGTTGGTTTGTTTTTAAGGAGGATTTGATCTGTTCTAGCTTCGGAGGAATCTGTGAGGTGAGGAAGAGTAGTGCGTGCGGCATTCGGAGAGGGAATTTCGTTCCGGAATCTTTTTGAAAAAAGATTTGGTAGTTACGGCAGTGAGAATAATATCTTGAATTCGGATCGGTGTATTGTGGTTATTAATGATGGCGTCGTCTCTGATTCTGAATCCTGCGGCGAGTTCTGAGCGATCGCGTGATTCGTCCAGAAAGAAAAAGAAAAAGAAATCGGGTAGAGAAGAAGATCGACAAGATCAGGATCGTCACATCAAGTGGAAATCACAAGCGCAGCATCAAGTTTACTCATCGAAGCT